AGATCAGGTCCATTGTCCACAACACTTCTCGGACTGGATCCCACGTCTTCACGTTGAAAACATAAAATATCACGAGATTTCATTTCTTCTGTGCTACTGCATACAACGAGCAGTTACTTCAGTTCCCACAGATCATATTTTCTCTTTTCGGTTTTAGAAAACGCTGTTCTTTTTAGATTCATGCAGCCAACACACACACACACACACACTTATATAAATGCATTATGGACCCGGAGTCTAGGAGTTTTATTCTTCATGTGAAGCTGTGGAGCTTTTTACTGAACTGGCTGATGAGACGTTTCTTCTGATCCGGATCCGGCTGACAGTGGAGACGAAGCTGACTTTACTGAAGGCATCGATGTAAGTACATATATAGAAAATATTTATTTATTTTTGACATATATATGTTTTATGTTATTACTTTCCGACTGAAAAGCCTGAGTCATCTGTAACTTCTGTGTGCAGTGCTGGTGACGATGTGCAGGATGAGCAGAAAAAGGATGAAGATGCAGTTAAAGGGAGGAAACATCTGCAGTCCGTTTTCAGCCAGAATCAGAAATCTTCTCAAGTCATAAAGTCGTCTGGAAAACGGTGGAGGAGGCCGACCGGTCGCCACGTCCTGCGCTGCGTTTCCTCCAGATGTGCAGCCTCCACCTTCACTGTCCACGTCCAGCAGAGATTTTCAAACTGTATGTTGACCAGGCCAAAAATGAGAGATTTCTGGAGAACCGCCACAGTATTTCAGCTTACACATCCCTGTAGAGTTATGTCCAGAGATCCTCAACATCACGGCCAACGTTCATGAGTGACCAAGAGGAGGATGCCGTCAGTATGACCGTCTGCACAGACTGCGCCCCTGTATGACGGTTGGCGGGTTTTCTGCACAGCGATGTAGGAAACCAGCAAAACCTCTCTGTTGATGAACGGATGGGAGCCACTAAAGCCACTAAACCAGCAACGTGTGTTTCATGCAGGAGACACTGTTAGCAAGTGGGCAGGGCTGGAGGAAAACATGGAGTTCTGGAGGTTCCAGTCAAAGACTACAACCGCTTCAGGGGGGTGGACCGGTCAGAACAGCTGATCGGCTACGATGGTTCGTGAAGGTCCTGCGGCGTCTCATTGATGACACATCAGGCCGTTCAGGAGCCGCTGGCAGCCCGGCTGTGGAGAAATTTCACCATCAGCCCTGATGATGAGCAGTCTGCACTCGCCTGTTGCAGTCGTTGAGGGGGAACCCAAACCCAAAGGGGTGCAGGAAGTGCAGAATTTGTGCAAAGTGTACTGCCTTCATGTGTGAGGTGTGACTCACATTGTGGACGGGAACTGCCACAAGGACTTCCATAGGAATAAAAGCCTTTCTTTGTTTCTGTTTTTGCTTCATTTTGACACATTTCTGTAACTGAAGCCAAGTTTTGCAAACTGAATAAATCTTGTGGATCAAAAGGCTCGTGTGCAACTTTGTGTTGACAATTTCGGTGGATAAAATTAGGACATTTTTATGTTTACAAAAATGTTTAACAAAATCAAACCATTGATTTGTGATTTTTTTGTTGCATTTTATTATCAACATACAGATTTTGAAAAATAAGGATATGAAGATTGTACTGAATGTTGAACAAAAACGGCTGCAGCATCCAGAAATGTCAAAATAAGCTCCAACGGACTTTAATAGGACATAAAGGATTATTAAACATAGGGAAAAAGTACAGATATTCCCTTTGATCAAACTGATCATTTTTACGCAAACTTTGATGCAAAGTAAATTTTCATACACGGCAACTTGTGCGTAAAATAAAGGCATCAGGCATAAAGCGGCACGCCGCTTTATGCCTGATGGTCCAGTTCTTCTGATCTGTTGGAGTTTTAGTGGGTCAGCAATTTTACATTTTTTAGCTGAACTGAGACACGCTGAATTCCACATCACATCTACATTGTCATAGTCAAGCTAGCTTAACTGAGCTACGTCCCTCTCCCTTAATATTTTTTCTGTTCATTAAACTTTTTCCTGATCTTATCTAGTTGTTGTAGTTTTGACAATTAACTTCAAAGCCCTGCATCTGTTTCCCTTCTACAGGTGCAGGAGTAAGACTTAGCACATTACTTTGATGACGGCTAAAAGCAATGCTAGTCGTGTTTAGCTAGCAGCTTTTTGCCCTCCTGCAGGGAGGTGGGGCGGGATGTAGAGTGTGTGATGTCATTCTGTAGGGGATCCATAGAAAGAAACCACTATCGTTTCAGAATAAAGGCTAACAATGAGCATTTAATGTGAGAAGCGTACAGCTAGTCAGTTCTGAGTAAGAGTTTGTAAAGGACGGCGCGTCTTGAGGAGTCATAACTCCCAGCACAGCGTCTGCTCCGGTAGCGCCCATGTTTTCATTTATTTCATTTGCAAAAGCAGCAGCATTCTGAACAATATCCAATTCTCCAGGCAAGCAGCTAATTACCGTGTAATAATAGTTCTGAATGTTCCTCAGCTTTCAGGTCCCCAGAAAAGAGGAAGCGAACACAGAAACTGCACCGCAGACTGTCATTAGTTAATGGATTGATCTCAGGTGTGCTATTTCAATTTATTTTATTTAGTAAAATCAGAAGTCATAGCTACTGGATGTTTAATTGCATTCATTTATTTCAATGTACGTTGTCTGTCATTTAGAGTCTCTGCTGCTGCTGGGGAAAACTCCAGGACGACATTCAGCACACAGGAGAAACGCTGTCCGCCATCTTGATAGTTTTGATCAAACAAAGGCCACTCTGCTGCTTCATGCGACTCAGTCTCTGCTTCACAGCATCTCCTGTGACCTGAACGTGATTTCAAGGGATTCATATGATTCTACCTGCTAACTCTGAAGTGTGGGAGGCCAAGAGGGTAGAGTTGATTCAAATGAAATGAGAAATGTAGAAGATATATGAGAAGTTCCTGATGCTGTTCAGATTATCCTGAAGCTGATGGACTTCAGCTTCTCCTGATAGTCAATAAAATGCATTAAATGAAAACTAGACCTGGGAGGCACATCTCAGGGATTCATGGCAGCAGAACTAAAAAACTGCTGAACCAACCAAAAACCAGAAAGGGGATCAGACTTAACGGCGTTGGCGGATTCTGACGGCATCAGAGCTGGAGGAAGACTCCAGCAATCGGGACGAAATCGGGTTCCTGTTAAAATACGCAGCATTTCTTAAGTTTAGCTTTGTTTGACAAGAGAAGGCTTTTTATTGATGGATCAGCTCGACTCTTTGGTTGTTAGGATTTAGGACAGAAACGGAAGAACAAAGTCTCACTCCAGAGATTTTTGATTTAGATCAGAGAGACCTGACTCATGTACGATTGTGGGACCAAGTGGGTCTGGGAAAACTTTCATTGTGTTTTACAGAATTGTAACCATGAATTGTGATGCATGTTGTGCCGGATTACATTGTTTGGATTTATACTGTTTTTCAACATATGTAGCCTGATTAATAGAAAATGAATAAAAATATAAAATTTGTTGAAGGAACACATTATTGTTTTAGCAAAACATTTCCCACAAATGGGACAGGGATACAGATTCCCATCTGTGTTCTGCGGCAGAAGGTCCGGTCCCCATTCGGGGTAGATGGACTAAGGAGTTGTAAGATGAACTTTGGGAACGATTGATTGATTTGTTTTTTTCCCCTTTGTTGTGTTTCTTCTTTTCTCCTCTTTTTCTTTTTATTTCATTGTTTTGTTTTTTTTCCTTGATGGCCATTTGCATATCCCAATGTTGTGGTTGTAAATATGTAAATACGATATTCACATTGCAAATACAAAACACTTGCAGCTGCAAACTCTAGCCTAACTGCTCTTTCTTGAGTCGTACCTATTCTTCTGAAAGAAAAAAGAAAGGAAACTGGCCTATTATCTTGGTTAAAAGCCATTTATATTGAATAACAATTTAGATTGTCTTTTCAAATATGCTACATTTGCATATTGTTATGACTCTGTTAAGCCAAAAGGCAATAAACAAGCAGAATAAAGTTAATTAATATTTAATCCGTCCATCTTCAGGTCGGGGGTTCAGCTGCTGCCTATCTCTAGCGAGAGGCAGGGCACTTCATGGTATTTATCTTTGCATAAATAAATATATAAAAAAGTTAATATGTTAATTTCTTCCATCTGTTGTTAATCCAATAGCACTGACCCAGCTTCCGTTTTATGGAAACGTTGGCCGTAAGGAAAGTGCGACACCTTGTGGTGTCACACCACATGGTCATTGATGAGTGATGCATCTAGACATGGGGTGGGCAATCCTGGTCCTCAAGGGCCGGCATCCTGCAACTTTTAGATGTCTCCATGGCCCAACACAGCTGAATCAAATCACTGAATCACCTCCTAAGTCCAGTCAGGTTCTCCAGAGTTCTGCCAATGATCTCCTTATTTGACTCAGGGTTGTTGAAGTAGAAACACATCAAAAAGTTGCAGGAGACTGGCCCTCGAGGCCTGGAGTTGCCCACCCCTGATCTAGAGCATCTTAGCCAGTTTCTCCCACAGGGATCCTGGCTGGATGGTGTTGAAGGCTGATGAAAAGTCAAAGAAAAGGATGCAGACAGTGGTGTCAGTTCTATCAGGGGAGGAATAGACCCTCTGCAGCAGGTATATAATTGCATCATCCACGCCTAAACAATGCAAACTGGAGAGGGTTTTGGTCTGCATCCAGCTGGTACCTCAGATGTACCAGAACCAGCTTCTCCATAATGCCAGAGGTCAGATCTATGGGTCTATAGTCCTTCGGTGTTTTTGAGCCATAAAAGTCTTTGCTCTGCCTACATCCCCCAGAATGCCGTGCGATTCTGGATTGGAGTTCAGTGAAACTGAATCTGTTAGTCATATTTATAATTAGATGAAGACTGTTCTTTTTAAAATGAGGTCACAGAGACAATGTTATTTAATTCTACTTTTGTGCATTCCACAGCATTTTAAATTTGAGTTGAATAAAACGTTTGAGTTTTTACATTCTCAGTAACAAGAGTTTTTATTCCTTCAGGACACAACCAGGATTTGAAGTCCAGTTTGGGTCAGAAGACACCAGATACTCCAGAGACCAACAATGAAGAGCATGAATCTGAACCTCAGCAGTTAAAAAAGCCGGACAGTGGGGTCTGCGTCATGCACGCTTTGACTCCAGCATACTTAATTCTTCAAATGAGTTCTCACCAAGGTCAGAAGAATTTAGCCTGTCAGCTCTGTGGAAAGACTTTTCTCTACAAATGTAAACTGAAATACCACCTAAGAACTCACACGGGCGAAAAGCTGGTCTCTTGTCAGACTTGTGGAAAAACGTTTCTCTGGCAAAGTAAACTGAAAGAACACATGAGGAGTCACACGGGGGAGAAGCCTTTCTCATGTCAGACCTGTGGGAAAACTTTTACTGAGAAAAGCAAATTGAAGCAGCACATGAGAACTCACACTGGTGAGGTTTTTTCATGTGAGACCTGTGGAAAAACCTTCATGTGGCATAGTCAGCTGCTAGGCCACGTCAGAACCCACACAGGAGAAAAGCCTTTCTCATGCGAGTTCTGTGGAAGAGCTTTCACTGTGGAAAGTAAATGGAAATACCACATGAAAGCTCACACAGGTGAGACTTTCTCTTGTGAGACCTGTGGAAAAACTTTCACCTTGCAATGTGCTTTGAGGGACCACATGAAAACTCACACAGGTGAGAAGCCTTTTTCATGTGAGACCTGTGGGAAAGCTTATATGAGGCAGAGCACTTTGAGGGACCACATAAGAACTCACACTGGTGAGAAGCCTTTTTTGTGTCAGACTTGTGGAAAAGCTTTTAACCGGCAAAGTAGCTTGAGTCTCCACATAAACTTGCACACAGGTGAGAAGCCTTTCTCATGTCAGACCTGTGAAAGAAAATTCAGTTTGAAAAGTCAATTGATTTTTCACATGAGAATTCACTCTGGTGAGAAACCTTATTCATGCCAGATATGTGGAAAAAAATTTAGGGTTAAAGCTCGGTTGACAGTTCACATGAGAATTCACACGGGTGAGAAACCTTTCGCATGCCAGATGTGTGGCAAATCTTTCACCCACCAGAATTCTTTGAATTTTCACATGACTTCTCACACAGGTGAAAAGCCTTACTCATGTCAGACGTGTGGAAAAGCTTTCAATATGCAAAATGGTTTGACTCGTCACATGAGAATTCACACGGGTGAAAAGAATATTTCATGTGAAACCTGTGGAAAAGCTTTCAACCAACAAAGTCATCTGACGTATCATATGAGGTCTCACACTGGTGAGAAACCATTCTCATGTCAAATCTGTCCAAAAAAGTTCAGCAGAAAAGATCTGTTGAATGTTCACATGAGAACTCACACAGGCAAGAAATGTTAAACATGCAGTATATCTACTATTAGATGGATGGTGACTGGGATGAACTTTTCCTTCATAATATGCATTGAAGCATTCCTCCTGCTACGGTTGTCAAAATGATCAGCAGGTTGATATATTTCTATCAGTTGTTTGCCTCAAAATTGACACTAAGGCAGCTGTTTACATTCATTCCTCCCCAATAAGCTGCTGAAAGTTTTAAGCTTTCCTAACAGGGAAACAATGTTCAGAAAAAGTCATTAAAGTTCCTTTATTTGCATTTAATTGATGGTCCCTGATTGATATGGTGAGTCAGTTACATTTGCCGTCAATCATTCCTACAAGAATTGCAAAATTCCTTGGAAATATTTCTAAAGTACCAAAAATCATAAAATCCTGGAGCGTCTGTGTACTTAATCAGTAAAGAAAATATTCCGACTGAAATGAAACATGGCTGCTGCTGGTTGTATCTGCATGGACCAGGTCCTTGTTTCCTCTAAAAATATGATTTCAATGCTCATGACCCGTGTTTGTTTTGAAAATTCATTTATTTCAGTCTAGAATGATTCTTTGTTCAAAAATGTATTTATATCAACAATAATTTGACAGAGAAATGTAAAAAGAAAAAGTAAATATATAATATATGTGTTGGTATGGGAGAAGCAATAATATTGTTTAAGTCTGGAACATGACTTGAAATTAATAACAATAATAATATATTTAGGCTCTAAATGCCATCTGCTTTCCTCAGTGTTTGGTTTTCGTACTTAAAGTCTGGAATTATGTGAGGATGTTGAGATTTGACCACCTGTTTCACTGCTGTCATTTATCAACATCACCAGAGTTTAAGGACTTCCTGTCTTGACAGGAAACAGAAACTAATGTATTTTTAGAGTTGTGGTACGATTAGAGAGGAGCTACTGGCATCACACCATCCGTTACTGGTGCCTCTTGTTTTACCAGCTTTTTTGCCGTTAAGATTTCTGGGGTTTTCAAAGTTTTTGTTATTTTTTTTTCTTTGTGTTTCTGGATCGCAGCATTTAGAAATGCTGCTGTCTGAATATATTTGCCTCTTGGAGTTCCTGCCTCGTCTCTGAATGTCTTTATTTCACCATTGTTAACCTGTTTCATTGACTTTATGTATTTCTTGCTTTTCAAACACTGTAGTGTGCCGAACACTAGCCTCACATGGCCACCGGGGGCAGCGTAAGGCTGGCTGTGAACAGGAAGGTCAGGAATCAGGAGAGCTCCAGCTGTGAACCCATGACACTGAGTCTTAGTTTTCAGTGTGTTTAAACATCCTGACAGAAAAGGATGCACTAAAGCATATACTCAGGGTATATCGGTGCCATTTTTAGGTCGGCTGATCCAAAGACTAGAGAAAAAAAGGAATTCATCAATCAATCAATCAAATTTTATTTATATAGCACATTTTAGCTACAAGGCATTTCAAAGTGCTTTACATCATAAACACAAAACACAAAGTCATGCAACATAGAATAAAATACCAAGTGTTTTTTTTTTCATGGACATAAATAAATAGTGTATTGGAAAATACAGCGGTGTTCATAATAAACCACTATTTAAAGTTAGACAAAAGTTTTTGTTTCATTCAAGCGGGCAATAATTACAGACAATGCAGGAAAGTCTGAACATTTTTCATTTTGTTCATAATTTTCCCTTTAAACATGTTAGGAGATAAAAGTCAAAATATTAATACTGTAAATAAAGAAAAACAATCATTACTCCTGGGTTTTATGTCCATGATTAAATGTGGCGCTTCAAATGCAAACAGTTGAAACCATTAATTTACATACAGAAAACAAAAACACTTTCACATTTCTTTCTCCCTGTCTGAAGGTAAATCAGACCAAACTTCTGTTGTTTCAGGTCAGAATAATCAGAATTATGTATTTACTAAAAGCCTGAATAATAAGAGAATTTATTTGGATGAGTTGTTGAGGAGCTGATGCTCATCCAGGACATGCTAGCAGAAAACGGTCATGTGACTCTCACAGCAAGTCTTCAGTCAGAGGCCTCTTCATATTCGCTGCAAGGTGGACTGCTAGAGATCCTTCCTGCCCACAGCATCACCATCCACCAAGTTTTGAGGATCCTTTGAAGACGAGTGATGACAACATTTAATTTCTGTTTAGAATGAATTATTTTTTTAATTGGATTTTAAGAAAAAAATATTCCAATTAGACTTTTAAAATATAATTTCTAAACATACCAGTAACATATGTAAAGCATTAAAGGTCATTTCTCTATTTCAGGAGGCAGAAATACGTTTAAAAAATGTTTTAATTAGCGTTCAGTCGCTTCTCTCCAGCAGGGGGCGGAAATGCACACAGCTGCTTAAGTACGTTGTGTCGTAACTTCCGGTGTAGCGGTTAGCCTCCTGCTAGCAGCTGTGCTGTGTCCGGGTTCTGCTGCGGTTCTGTTGCGGTTCTGCGCAGCAACAATGTGTTCCGTTGAGCCTCTGAGGGAGTTTATCAGAGAGAGACTAACTGCTGCTGCTGAAGAAATCTTCACCCAGCTGGAAAAAACCATCGTCCGGTACGAGGAGGAGATCGACCGGCAGCGGAGGCTGCTGGACCTCAGCTGGACCCGAACCGAGCAGAACCCCGCAGGTAGGTCCGCTGGGTCCGACCCGGCAGCAGAACCGGGTCCAGACATCCCCTGACGTTCAGAAATCAGTTGATTCCCGGGTTATTGTGATGCTAACTGCTGTCAGCTGGAAGAGTGACGCATTTCCGCTCATTGTTTAAGTCTGATAGTGAAGAATCACCAACAGAACCGGTTCAGTTCACCGAGTCTTTCTGCTTTAATGTCGTAAAGACTCGATATAAACTGAAACAGTTTCTATCTGGCTGCTGTGACTTTCGGTGTATGAGATCTACTGGTGCCCCAGATCTACTGGTTGTGAAGGTGGCCTCGTGGATGCCTGATCAAAATACTGCCAGGGTGACAAAAACAGTTTGCAAAATGTTCTGAATCCTGTCTGAGGAGTAACTTTCTGTTTCCACAGATGAAAATGATGCTTAAATTACTGGAACATCACAGTTCACCAGATCAACTTACACACTATGCTGTTCACATCCAAGAAAGCCAGTTTATTAATATAAGACATTTTCACTAACAAGGCAAAAGGTTCACATGATGAAAATCAAAATGAAACACCAAACACTTTACATTAAGTTGGCAGAATAAAGGCATATGTTTTAATCCAGACTAAAGTTAATCTATGCAGGGGTTTTAAGCCTGTATTTAAAGCAGCAGTGGAACAGAACTCACAAGTTGTACTTGTGGGGGTGAAACGATGAATCCATTATTGAAGTAATCAACTAGTTTAGTTATTGATTAATCACTAATAGACCCAAACAGGTCATTTGCATTTCCATGTTTAATGTGAGTTTGAGCCAATGTTGTGACATCATTCATGTCGGCGTTCCTCTGATCTCCTCCAGAACTCCAGCATCATTTCTCCAGCGAGGAGCTTCCTGCCGATCGGGACAGCAGTACTAGTCCGGACCGGGACGCACCAGAACCGGCGCCTGACGACATCTGCTCCAGGCAGGACGGAGCGCTGGTGCTGAAGCAGGAGACCGAGGCCATCATGGTGACTGTGGACTACGATGACGAACCTGAACCAAGCAGCTACCAGCTTCTCTACCAGAACCGCCCAGAGACCCAGAAACGGAACCAGGAGGCGCTGAAGCCAAAGAAAATCAGAGCTCCCAGCGACAGACCGGACCTTCTGCCGCAGAACACAGATGGGAATCTGTATCCCTGTCCCATTTGTGGGAAATGTTTTGCTAAGAACAGTTACTTGACCAAACACAAGAGGATCCACACCAGTGAGAAACCGTTTGTCTGCGATCAGTGCGGGAAGGCCTTCAGCAACACCAGCTACCTGGCCAATCACAAGAAGACTCACAGTGGCATGAAACCGTTCGCCTGTCTCATCTGTGGGAAAGTTTTCACCCAGCAGATTCATGTCACCGACCACATGAGGATTCACACTGGAGAGAAGCCCTTCCCCTGTGCCACCTGTGGGAAACACTTCAGGCAGAAGAGCAGCTTGAACAAACACCTGAGAACTCAGCACCAGAAGCTGGAGGCATGATCGGGTTCTGAGCTGCTGGCTGGTACTGCCCCCTAAAGGCCTGGGGGCGTCAGACTGCAGAGGAGCATCAACAACTTTCCTGCTTTTAACTCTACTTCCTGTTCTTTAGCCTCTCTGAGGAACACCGTGTGTCCCTCCAGCTGGGAGTGGAAGATATTAATATAGATGTTAATCTCTGTGTAAAGTTGGAGATTCTAACATTTACTAAAAAGACTGAATTTTGAAAATAATAGTGGGAATTCTGAGAAAAAAGTCTGAAGTTTGAGAAAGTTGGAATTCTCCCCCAAAAAATATTGGTGTTCTGGAAAAAATGTCGATTCTGACTTTTTTAGAAAGAAGGATGAATTCTTAAAAAAAAAAAAAAAAAGCAAAAATGAATTTAATTTTAAAAGGTGAAAAAAGCAGAAATTTGGCAAAAAGGCAGAAATTCTTTTTGAAAAAAATACTGAAATAAAAGTTTATATTCTTAAGTCAGAATTCTGAGGAAAAAGATCAAAATGCTGAAAAACTGCAGAATTCTTAACAGAAAAGCTAAAAAATCTGAACTGGTTGTTTTAGTGTGAAATGATGAAGTGGAGCCTCTGATGAACAGAGTCGCTTTAAAACCTGCTGCAGGTGGATCTGCGACTGACTGCAGTCACTCTGTCCTTGGTTTTGATATATTTGTATATTTTTCAGTGTAACAGCAGCTTGGTGACGGCGTGGACTGTAAATGCTCGAGTTTTGTCTGGATCACTGTCGATGTGCCGAGTCATGCAGTTCTTCTGTTGTGTTTTGTTTTTTCCGACTGTAAAACTGAAGAATGTTCTGCAGTAGCAGAAATATTTCTGAATACTTGGTATTAAAGGTCTGATCTTGGATTCAAGCTCCATGTTTCACATCACAAAACAAGAATTATTTATGTCACCAACTGAGTAAAGACCAGAATCATTCACAGCCCAGGGAGATTTAGGTTTAAACGTATTTTAATTTTCAGCCAGAAAACAGAAATTATGAGCAGGAATTCAAACGAAAAGCTTTTATATTTGTATTTAATAGCTAAGGGAACTGTTCAACTGAAATAAGGGTTATATTTCAGAGAATAAACATATTTTTTAAAATGGATTTTAAATGTTATTTAAAGCGGGTTTCTGAGTTCCACTCCGGGCCAGAAGGTGGCAGTATTCATGTTTAAACTGGAGAGCCGGTGTTTCCCCATCAGCTCTGGTTCCCCCTGCGTCTCTTCGCCACTCAGCCGCTTGTCCTGAGAACGTATGTATGTATCTCAATCTGCCTGTTTAAGCTCAACATCAGATTCTGCTGCCATCAGATTCTGCTGCCCCAATTTAACAGGGAACAAAATCTGATGGGTGAATTATGGCCACCAGACACTGTTTATGCACATATTCATAAAACATAAAGAATTACTTAAACAAGCCTTTCTTACAGAAAGAGAACGAAGGGAAAAATGTATTTTAAACGGATTTTCACAGACTAAATTATTTTAAATGTTTTATTTATAATTTCCACAAAAGATAGTGCACCAGTTTTTTCCTCTGTAAGCTTATATAAAAATGTTAAACTATTAAATCCTAACATTTTGTGACAGAAGACACTATTAACTGTAGTTGTTTGTTATTTAATGTTAAAGCATTAAATCTCTTTATATTGGGAATTAACAGCTTGGCTGATTTTTCTTTTAAAAGTTCAATATGTTGAAACATTCAGAGCAAATAATGCAAACAAAATTTTAATGCAAAGTTTGTAAAGCAACAAGAAGTAACCTCTGTATGAACGAGACTCGCATAAGAAGCAGATATAATTTAGAAATCTGAGTTTTTGTCCAGGTAACTTGGATTTTTGGCCATAAAACAAACAATGCCTCGCTGATCTATAAGTGAAAAGAAATCCTTTACTTCAACTTTCTTCTATTTAGGAAGCCTGACATCTACGTACATTAAACAGGACACATTGACTCAATTCTGTTCATGTTCAGTAAAACAGACAGAGATCCAAGATGTTCGTCAGGTTGCAGTAGGGAGCATCGATGGCTCTACTAATGGGATAAAGTGCAATATTGTAGTGCTACTGATTCACAGTTTTACTCATATTAATGTTTGTGTTTCTTCCAGGGACTGAGGCTTCGGTGGTTTAGTCTCTGCTCTTGTGTTTTGTTGGAGCTTTTTCTATCTTTGCTGTTTCTTCCTTCTCTTCACTGGATCTTGCTCTTTTCCACTGGAGCCTCATTTTATTACAATCAGTTTTGTTGAAATGCATCCACTGATTTAACCATTCTGCTTCAGGTTATTGTTCATTTAAAAACAGTGAAGCTTAATACATTTTTGTAGAACCAGCTTTAATCAACACCACAGCAGCCACTGCTGATGTACAAAAAGATTCATTTTCTCATTTCACAACAGATTTGGCATCATCCATCATTTAAACACAATCTGTGAAAAAACTGATTTGAAGGAAAAACATTTGAGAACTTATTAGTTTTCATCACATTAATAACATGACTGTAGTGACTGCGGCATTAATCCACACAACGCCCGCTGTGAAAGCATTTCAATAACTGTCAACAATTAAACAGAAATTTGTCCTTTTATCATTTTACATCATGCATGATTTCAACTCTATTGTAAGAATTGAATACAGTCCTTTATCAACTACAAACCATCTAACATGCCGTTAGTGTTAATAGAGTATTTTTCTGAACACTCTGCTGACAAACTGTTCACCTTATGGAAAACATTAAATTGCTTCTTTGAAACAAAATTTTACCGCATGTCAAATTAGAGCTGGAACAGACGTCATTTGGACAAGCAGGATGGGTGGAAGGTTTCTCTTTTGTGAGTTCTGATGTGGTAAGTGTAACTATTTTTATGGCCAAAACATTTCCCACAGGTTCCACATATGAACGGCCTCTCACCTGTGTGAATTCTCACGTGGCTATTCAAAATCCGCTTTTCACGGAAACATTTTCCACAGGTTACACATGAGAAAGGCTTTTCACCTGTGTGAGTTCTCATGTGGGTATTCAAAACATGCTTTTCACGGAAACATTTTCCACAGGTCTCACATGAAAAAGGCTTTTCACCTGTGTGAATTCTCACATGGTTATCCAAATGGATTTTTTGATTGAAACATTTTCCACAGGTTACACATGAGAAAGGCTTCACACCAGTGTGAGTTCTCATGTGACTATTCAAATTGGCTTTTTGATTGAAACCTTTTCCACAAGTTGCACATGAGAAAGGCCTCTCCTCAGTGTGAACTCTCATGTGGGTATTCAAAATATGTCTTTGACGAAAACATTTCCCACAGATTTTACATGAGAAAGGCTTCTCACCTGTGTGAGTTCTGATATGCCTAATCAAAGTATTTTTTTCGCTGAAACCTTTTCCACAGGTTATACATGCAAAAGGTTTCTCACCTGTGTGAGTTCTCATGTGATTATTCAAACTACACTTGTGACGGAACGTTCTCCCACAAGTTACACATGAGAAAGCTCTCTCCTCTGTGTGAGTCCTCATATGGCTAATCAAAATATATTTTTGCCGAAAACATTTCCCACAGATTTCACATGAGAAAGGCTTCTCACCTGTGTGAGTTCCCATGTGGCTATTCAAATTACATTTTTGACTGAAACCTTTTCCACAGGTTACACATAAGAAAGGTTTCTCACCTGTGTGAGTTCTCATGTGGATCGTTAACTCTGTGTTTAATTTGAAACTTTTTCCACATACATTACACTGCTTACATTTTTTTAATCTGTAAAGTTCCTTGTCCTTCACGCCTTTCTCTGCATTGTCAGCTCTGGTTTTCTCAACTCTCTTCTGATGTGAGAACATTTGGTTTCCACTGAGTTCTGGTTGTTGGTGATCTGTTTCATTATTAGTCGCAGTTGGGATTAATGGATCCGTCTCCTGCTTCAGTACTTCCTGGTTATAATCCTGATTGATGCCTTCAGCCTCAATCTTTACCATCTGCTGGGATTCTGATTGCCCATCATCTTCCTTCAGTTGTTGCAGCTCCAGTTCCTCTGGTTCTACTTTGATGTCTACTGATCCAGAACCTGGTACCATAAACGTATGGGTCTCTTGCTTTTCATCCTGGCTCATGTCTTCATCATCAGTCTTGACCACCTGCTGAGATCCTGATTGACAATCTTCTTCCTTCATTTGTTGCAGTTCTAGTTCCTCTGGTTCCTCTTTGATTTCAAGAGAATCTGTTTCTGTTAAGTCGTCCGTTATCTGTTCTCCTTGCTTTAGAGGTTCTGATCCGTACTCCTCTTTGACTTCTGGAAGTTCTGGTTCCTCTTCTCTCTCCTTGATTTTTTGAGATTCTGTTGGATCTACAGCAGAAATCTCTTGTTGGTTGAGGTTAAATTGATGAGCAAGAACATCTTGCTTAATGGCAGACATAATGTGACAAATCTGGAAAAAAGGGAGAAACAAAATATAAAATTAAAATGTTGGTTGAATAGCAACAGCAGCAGTTTGTCTGTTTTCAGTGAAGCAGCTGTTGAACCAGGATCCTCTCAGCTGAAGGAAACGGATAAACGGCCGAACCTGGTACCGCCGCTCGCTGCTCACTTCATTTGTTTTTGTGCAACATGAGGGAAACCAGGGTTTGTGTTGCTGGAAGTCAGTGACCACAACCTGAAAGGGATGGACAAGGATCCATGAGTCCTGAGGTACAGGAACCGGGCCAGAGGGGGAACCGGGCCAGAGGGGGAACCGGGCCAGAGGGAGAACCGGGCGAGAGGGAGAACCGGGCTAGAGGGGGAACCGGGCGAGAAGGAGAACCGGGCCAGAGGGAGAACCGGGCCAGAGGGGGAACCGGGCTAGAGGGGAACCGGGCCAGAGGGAGAACCGGGCGAGAAGGAGAACCGGGCCAGAGGGAGAACCGGGCGAGAGGGAGAACCGGGCCAGAGGGGAACCGGGCCAGAGGGAACCGGGCCAGAGGGAGAACCGGGCGAGAAGGAGAACCGGCCAGAGGGAGAACCGGGCGAGAGGGAGAACCGGGCCAGAGGGAGAACCGGGCCAGAGGAACCGGGCCAGAGGGGGAACCGGGCCAGAGGGGGAACCGGGCCAGAGGGAGAACCGGGCGAGAAGGAGAACCGGGCCAGAGGGAGAACCGGGCGAGAGGGAGAACCGGGCCAGAGGGAGAACCGGGCCAGAGGGGGAACCGGGCCAGAGGGGGAACCGGGCCAGAGGGGAACCGGGCCAGAGGGGGAACCGGGCCAGAGGGGGAACCGGGCCAGAGGGGGAACCGGGCGAGAGGGAGAACCGGGCCAGAGGGAGAACCGGGCGAGAGGGAGAACCGGGCCAGAGGGGGAACCGGGCCAGAGGGGGAACCGGGCCAGAGTCATGTTTCTCCTCACCTATTCAGAACCGCCTGGCTCTGGCCCATCAGAACTCAGACAGAGGTCCAGACATTAAGGTAGGATGTGAACCCGCGGCGTTAGCTCTGGTTGTGCAGCTCTACTGATCCGCAGGAATAACTTGTAGTGGCGCTTTGAGGAGCGATGAGACCCAATTATCTTTGTGAACACAATTATGCAGCGTTTACATCCCAACACGCTGCCCGTAACAAATGCTGTTCTGCTCAGTCGGCCAGAGTCAATGTGGAAGACATCTGAAACTCTCGTCCCATAAACTCAGGCAACCAAACAGTTTCTGTGTTTTAAAAACTCAACAGACAGAAATGTTAGAGCTGCTAAAGCTGCATTAGCACCTCTGAATTAAATCTGTTTGTTGCTCATTAATGCAGAGCAGCAGATTGAACTCATCCTGCAGGGCCGGTCCAAGGCTGCATGAGGCCCGGGGCAGAACCTGACCTACGGGCCCCTTTTAAAAACATCAGAACCTCTAGCAGCTTCTGTTGGATTTAATCTGGGAGATTAAAGTAGATTAACTGGCCAACATAAAAACAATCAGTTATAATTACAGTTTACTAATTTGTATTTGTGAACAAACGGCTCAAAGTCAAAGATTAAACTCACAGCATCAGATTGTTGCTATGGTAACAAGATAATCTAACTATGAAGATTGTTCTTTGAACTTTTATAAAGTAAACTTGCCAACTCCTTATAATCTTACATTTAAATATTAATTTAAAATATTTTAATTTATGTTGAAACCATTAAATTCAGCAGCATTGATAAATGTTACATTTATGTATCTGGGGGCCCCTGGAGCCCTGGGGGCCCCTGGAGCCCTGGGGGCCCCTGGAGCCCTGGGGGCCCCTGGAGCCCTGGGGGCCCCTGGAGCCCTGGGGGCCCCTGGAGCCCTGGGGGCCCCCTGGAGGCCCCTGGAGCCCTGGGGGCCCCCTGGGGGCCCCTGGAGCCCTGGGGGCCCCCTGGGGGCCCCTGGAGCCCTGGGGGCCCCCTGGGGCCCCTGGAGCCCTGGGGGCCCCCTGGGGGCCCCTGGAGCCCTGGGGGCCCCCTGGGGGCCCCTGGAGCCCTGGGGGCCCCTGGAGCCCTGGGGGCCCCTGGAGCCCTGGGGGCCCCTGGAGCCCTGGGGGCCCCTGGAGCTGCAGACAAAATGTGGATTCAATAGAAGAGCAAATCATTGATTTTCATTTAACTTTATTTTTTCATTTGTTGTTTTTAAGACGAGTTGGATTTAAATATAGTTTCACTGGAGATGTTTTCCTGTAACATGTAATATTTTTACATTTCTGTGTCTTTAGCCGCCGCAGCCGCCTTGGCTGCGCGGGTTAACTGGGGGAATCCTGAGCTGCTTTTATTAAATCAGTGAAATTAAACTCACATGAAAAAGCTTATTCACACAAAATGTCATTAAATATCTTGGCAGCAATGGATGTAAAGATGAGTCATATTTATCTATCAGCCAATCAGAGGAGACGATTCAGGCGTAGGAGCAACAAGCCCCGCCCACTCGGGGCGTTCTGAGGAAACTAATCCATGTTTTTACATTAGAGTTATTTATTCAGCAGGTTGGAATGAAACGTTTATGAACTGATCAGTGATGTCAGTAACGTGTTACTGTTTCAAACCCAGTAATCTGATTACTGTAATCAGATTACTTACCCAAATCACTGCGTTGCTCTTTAGTCATTTCATTATGTTGGGAAGAAACAGGAACCATGGAGGGAAAAACTGGAACTATTTGCGTTTTTCTCTCCAAGTCCGATTATCACAAGCAGCTCATGTTTTCTAAAGTCACTAGCAAAACGAAGTGAGTGGCGGGTTGTGGGTTCATTAGGAAATGAGCAGAAACATAATTAATCTTCCTGTTCTGCTGCGTTAATGTCGACGAAACACAAATAGATTTATGAACGACTCAGAACTGCAAACATCCAGACTAATATGATGCAATAAACATGAAAACAGCCACAAATGAAACTGTCCATAAAGTTGCACAACTAAACACCATAATAATCATTAATCATAAAATAATAAGATAAGTGTGACAGACCTGTGCATCCATCTGAAACAGGGTTTCACCAGTGGGAGCATCCAGCTGCTGGTCATGTGACCTGTGAGTTTCCTTTGCAATTCTGCAAAATTCATCCATTATGATGAAACTAAGGCTGAAAAAGCACCAGATCAAAAAAGCTGATTTTTCTCCACATTCATTCATTGTGTTTTTTCATGTCTTGTTTGCAGATTCACAAACCGACTGAACTGAACGAATCTGACCCAGATTACACTGAAACACAAAAACTCCAGAGAAACTCCAGAGAAACTCCAGAGAAACTCGACCATGAAAAGCCAGAAGACATCTGAGATCAAATGAACAAAACTGAGCTGCTAACGTATCCGGCCTCTTCAGCTTTTCAGGCTTCAGACATGAAGATCTAAAATGTTTATTATTTTGTGACGAACCAACAACAATCATGAGGTGAAATGAAATTATCGGATGTTTTAAACTTTTTTAATCAATAAAAACCTGCAAAGTGGGGCGTGCAACACTATCTTTACGTTAAGACTCTGCAGCGCCACCTGGTGGTGTGATTGGCTTTGACTCCGTTTCAACGCGATCGATCGCCTGCTCTGTGATCCTCCAGATGTCTGAAGCGTTTTGTATCCAAATCGGGCTTTAAACTTCAGTATCGGATCCGCCTGGATCATCCAAACTGAGCCTCAGTGAATCTGCTGCCCTGAAGGACCAATAAAATCACACGCCTCACTTTTATTAAGTTTTAAAATATCCAATACATTTTGTTCCACCTCATGATTGGTGTTGATTCGTCACAAAATAATAAACATTTTGATGTTTGAAGCCTGAAAAGCAGCAAAAGGTTGGAAAGTTGAAGAAATACTTTTATACATTTGGCTCTATTTTCTGTTGAAGGATTTCAATATATATATATATATATATATATATATATATATATATATATATATATATATATATATATATATATATATATATATCTGACTCTTGCGTTAATAAGAAGCGTTAGCAGCCGACAGCAGAGACACTAAAACATAAACTGTGTCTTCATTTCATGCCATCTTCAGCGTGGAGCCTTTAAAAGCACTAATCACAATCTTTATATTGTTCTGCTGCTGATCCTTAGGCTGAAGTTATGAAACTTCCCAGATATTCAATTTCTACATATTTATAGTTTCAGTCTCCAGGACATGGAAAACAAACCAAAAAAAGATTTAAAGCAACTGAGGTTATAATTTAAAGAACATAAGTTGTACTGAGAGCCACTGCAACACGTCAATATTTATTTATTTTCATCATTAAAGTTTGTTTTTAATCAGTTTTTCTGAATGTTTCAGAGACCAGAAACATTTGACTGTCAATAATATGATCATCTAAAAAATACAAATAAAGTTTGAATAATCTGAAATTTGAGGAATGAAAAGGCACCGAATGCATAAAGGAGATAACAGAACTGGGTTCCTATTTCCACCTCTGAAAAATGTAACAGAAAACTAAAAAAAACAGTTTCCAGACTTTTTTACTAGTTTTCAAAATATCAGAAAATATTATTTTTTTAAAACAGATATTTCTTGAAATCTTTATTTTATTTGTCTTAGATTTTTCCATCACTAACTGAGTCTGACATTTGTTGGCAACTTTTGATTTTCACTGAGGAAACATGTTGGTTATGAACTTTGAGCCTTTAAGTTCACGTGACCTCTGATTGTGACGTAATGACGCGTCATGATGAACTGCGTTTATGGACATTTAGGGAAAAGTGACGCAACTTGGATCATGTTTATTTATAATAACTCTGATGAACTGAAATCATCACTGCTTGTTTTCTATTGTTTGGACCTTCATTAGCAGAACTGGCCCTTTAATAACAGCTGCACTTATTCATCTTAATAAACATCGAAAGTTCCGAAGATTCATTCAAACGAGCAACAAGAGGAATTTAAATCAAGCTGGAAACAGAAACTAGCAACATGTCGCAGCTCCAGCCTGGATCAGGAAATACCTGCTGATCGATTCTTCCTCCGCCGCTGTTGATCGTCTCTGATCGATTCTCTCTGATCGATTCTCTCTGATCGATTCTAACCGAAGATCTTGTTGCTACAGACTCTTCAACTTTCAGCAAAGCCGCTTTTTTAACGGCCGATAAACACAAAGAAGCTGGAAGCTAACGCTGCTAGCTCAGTGTTGGTTACTTCCGCCGGAAGTGTCGCATGAAGAGCGACCCCAGAAACGGTCAAGTCGTTTTACGTTCCGCCTCTGACTACAAATATTTATTTGTGTAGAAATAATATATTTAGCTTGTTTTGACACATAAAATATATTTTCTAGGACTTTAATTGAATTTTGTACGTAGGGTTAGGCTTAGGTAAAAATTAAAAAGCCGAATTAGAATATCATAAATTACATAATGTGTATCTGTCAATAAACTTGCTTATGAATACTTTGAATGTTGACCTTGCTGATAGTTTTACAGCATTTACATTGTTACCTGGAAACATTGTAAATGTTCCTTTAACAGTTTATTCAGCAAGTTGCTCATTTCAGTCCAGCAGCACTAATTTGGATTATTGGAATTAACAGATGTTTAGACTGAAATTTAAAATCCACCCTACTGAAGGCGCTCTGTATCTGAATTGCTCTGCTCTGCTCTGCATGGATGGATTTCTCCAATCTCCTGCATAGCAGCTCCCCACGACTTGAATTAAAGAGCCGATCTCGACGGGTGATTTTGGTTTTATTTCTTTGATGAAGATTTTGTTGGATTATCAGCACAGTCACCAGGTCACCGTGAAAACTAGACAAATATTAAAATAGAAAACACAAACCCGCGATACAAACAACAAACAAAATGCACCTCGCTTCCTTCACTGGGGAACAACATTTATTTGGTCCAAACATTTGACTTGGTCCTCTTTATCTACGGCAGCCCGGGAGGTACATACAGAACAAAATCCCCAAACCATTAAACCAAATAAATCACCAACAATGCTAATCGAAACAGACAAACATACAGAAACAATCTGCAACAGGCTTAAATTAGAAAATTCACCTTAAATAGTTTGATTTAAATAAGCTACAAAAATAATTTAGAGAATTCATTTTAAATAATTTACAATCCATTACATCCTGGAAGATTTGTAAATACGACGCTCCTTCACACTTCACTGCCTGCTGAAATCCTCTGTGTGACTGGAGCAGACTGTCATACACAGCCAACAGATATTATGATTTTATTACTTTTAGAAATTGTGGAGAACTAATTTCTGAAGAACAATATTACACATTTAGGTTATTATACAGAGAAACGTTTTTAGCTTATAAACAGTGGACTTCTTATACTTTTCCAGCAACTCAGAGCAAATCTGAAAACAATCATCCTGAAACATTAAAATAATTCCTACTTTGTTCGTCTTCCATTGGATAGTTGCTGAACCAGGAGATGAAGAATGTTAACATTTTGAAGATACAAACAAGAACCATTCAGCTGTTAGACGTGTTGGATGGTTTCTTTACGCTTTATCTTTATGGAGTCAAAGTGAACACAGCATTAAGGCTTCTATTGATTCACAAGTTGAAACCCACCACACTTTTCAGAATAACCTAAGAGGAAAACCTCAGACTACAACCTACTTTAGATCAGCTTCAGTTTTTCAAAATACAAAACAAAAAAATGGTTTAAAAAACCCATTCAGTGAGCAGCTTATCTAATCTATAACCATCTGTATTTTCTTTTAAATCTGAATTAATTCATATTATACACCCAAAACAAAGTATGAAACAAGTAAAGACCCAAAATATCCACTCCATAAGCTATGGATAAGCTGGCAGGTCTCAAGAGTGCGGCTGGATTTCTCAGTGAACATGGACAACATTTCAACGATGAAACCATGTGTTGGCGGTTATAAATTAAAAAAAGCTTTTGGACCATAATATATATCAATGTCAGCGACACAAACAGACAACAGACATTCATTATATTCATGTCATAGTGGAAGGCAGTAAGAGAAAGTAAAGCTCTTCGTAAAATGAAGTCAATTACGTCTGTTTAACAGCCTATAAATATTTGCTTCAAATTGATAAACAGCAGTAAATGTCTGTTCCCTTCACAACGTCCTACTGAAGTGATTTAGGCTCTCGTTACTTTATGGACCAAAAATAAACCTTCCAGAGTTTGGCACTGGAAACACCTGACGATTATTTCTATAAAACATTTTCATAGCTAGATAAACAACACCAGGAAAAGCAATTCATGAGGCGTCGGCTCTTTATTTTGAATGTGTGCACACCGACCTGGAGGGGACGGGGTGGAGGAGACGGGGTGGAGGAGACGGGGTGGAGGAGACGGGGTGGAGGAGACTGGGTGGAGGAGACGGGGTGGAGGAGACTGGGTGGAGGAGTTTTTTTTATTTTTGAATTTGTGTTTTGGACAAAGAGTCACTACGCTTTATTAAAATGTTTCATTCCTTTCATTTTTTATGGAGAGTCTATCAAAATGTCCTTTTTTATTCGTTTTTAAAATAATTAAATATCTGCTTATTTCAGCTTTCTTAATCTTCCTCTGGTATATTTATGAAATGAAATAGTTTCTACAACTTTAACCTTCTTTCTGTCTAATTATCTCATGTTTCTAGTTCCGCCAGTTGGAGGCGGAACTAGAAACTGTTTCTGTTTCTGGGGTAAATCAACATGGGAGACTTCCGGCGGAAGTAAACATGGTGCTAGCAGCGCTAGCTTCCGGGCTGCTTCTGACTAACGACGTTCAGAAACGCGATTCCTGCTGCGTGAACTGAACGTTCAGTAACAAGAAATGAATCAGAGACGAACTGCAGCAGGAGAAATATCCACCAAACCGGAATCAGCTCGGACTGCTCAGATCCGGCCGGAAACCCAAATCATCCCCGAACCCGGAGGTTCGGGTTCTGATCCGGACTCCGTCGACACGTTGCTGAGGTTCGATATTAAACTCCACGGACAGCTGAGAGATGGTATCATTTACCAACACTGTAAATACACACGCTGCTCTCTGGCCTTGAGTTTGACATATTCTATGGAAATATTGACTAATAATAATCAGAGATCCAAATACAGAAGTGTTGTTTTTGCTGCAGCGCCCCCTGCTGGTTGGGCATCAGGACAGATGAAGTCAGGGACATTAATAACTATTTATCAATGACAATAAATATGCATCGTGTTCATTTTCTTCTGTTCAACATGGAAATGATTCCAAAGTGTCCGAGAGACAATAAGCAGGTTTTCATCCAGTAAGTTAGAGAAACATCCTGCTGAGGCGAGGAAACAGAAATCAGGTTGCAGAAAATGTAAAATAGAAAAACACCTTTAATCAAATGATGGAAGCGACTTCATTCAACATCGAATGACTGAATATTAACAGTTGTCGTTCACATCACTGTTGGATCGTAATAGTTTTTTCACTAAATATTAATTTGCTGAGATGTGGATTTTATTATTGTTTCATTTAAATTTTATTTCATTTACAGTTAATGGTAAAATATTATTTAAGCAATAAAACATTACGGCATAAGACAAGTAGATCTACCTACAGTTATAGTTTTTGGACATTGTTTGTGGTGTCCCCCAAGGGTCAATATTGGGACCAAATCGGTTTCTGTTTTGCATATAAATATAAACTGTAATGGAATTTTTCCACAGGTTTGGGATATTTCAGTGGTTATCAGAAATGCACAGAGGGTATTGTAATAGGTAAATACTGTAATTTATTCAGAAACAGGTGAAGAAATGGATCGTAGAGAGCAGTCAAGATTTTATTTAGTCTTTAACTTTCAGTGTCAGCATGATTGCTATGATTCCCCGCTGTAATTATCTTATTAATATTTAACACAATCAGATAAATCACTGAGAGTGGTGGACAGTAAAACAAACATGAGCAGTTTTAGTTCTTCAGGGTTAAATTACATGTTGTGTTTTTCCCTTTTTCAGATTTGCCACAAAATGATGTCTGTTATTAAGTCAGATGTCCTTGCTCCGCATTTTATCCTCAACCAACAAGATATTTCTGTTCTTGACCAGAGGGGAACCAAATCTCCAAAACCCAAAGGAGGAGAGGAAGAGGAACCAGAACTTATACAAGTAAAAGAAGAAGAGTTTGAATCAGAACTTCAGCAGTTTGTAAAGAAAGAAGAAATGGAAATGTCACTTGAAACAGATTCTGAAGCTCTTGAAATAAGAGGGCAACCAGTAGAACCACAAAAGAAACAAATGAAGGAAGATGAGCGTCGATCAGAATCTCAGCAGATGGTAAAGGTTAAAGTAGAAGACATCAGTCTGGATGGAAACCAGGACATCCTACAGCAGGAGACTGATTCTAAATCTCTGGAACTCAAAGAGGAACCAGCTGAACTAGAACCAAACCAAGTGAAGGTGGAGGATCCTGGATCAGGACCTGAGCTGATGGTAGAGAAAGAGGCTGAAGGCGTCAGTCAGGATGAAAACCAGGAAGTACTGAAGCAAAATGTTGATTCTGTAATCCTAAAGTTTTTGGATGATGAAACAGACGACCACCAACCTGAAATCAATGAAAACAAAATCCTGATTCAGAACCTCCCAAAAGCAAAATATCAGGACATAAAGACTCACAAGGCGTCAGATTCCAGCAGAAATGATCAGCAGCAGAAAAGAGCTCAGAAAAATGGTGGACAAAGTGACAATGTAGAGAGAGGAATGAAAAGCAGAAAAATACACAAAGGTAAAATCACCAAGCAGTGTGAAGTGTGTGGAAAAATGTTCAAATGGATCAGCGATTTAACTATTCACAAAAGAATTCATGCAGCTGGCAAGCCTTTCTCATGTGTAACTTGTGGAAAATGTTTCAAACAAAAAGGTAATATGATTAGTCACATGAGAACTCACTCAGGTGAGAGACCTTTCTCATGTGAAATATGTGGGAAAGGTTTTAGTCAAAAAGGTAGTTTGAGTAGTCACATGATAATTCACAAAGTAGAGAAGCCTTTCTCATGTATAACCTGTGGGAAAGGTTTCAATCAAAGGAGTCATTTAACAAGCCACATGAGAACTCATACAGGTGAGAGGCCTTTCTCATGTGAAACCTGTGGAAAAGGTTTTATTGAAAAAACTAATCTGCTTAAGCACATGAGAACTCACACAGGAGAGAAACCTTTCTCATGTGAAGCTTGTGGAAAATGTTTCAGTCAAAAAAATATTTTGAAAGGCCACATGAGAACGCACACAGGTGATAAACCTTTCTCATGTGGAAGCTGTGGAAAGTGTTTCAGGCACAAACATAGCTTGGATGTACACATGAGAATTCACACAGGAGACAAACCTTTCTCATGTGGAACCTGTGGAAAACGTTTCAGCCATAAAAGTAGCTTGAATTACCATGTCAGAATTAACACAAAATAGAAACCTTTCCTCTGTCATATCTGTGGTCAGCATGTCTGTTGTAGCTGTTTCCTTTTTCTGTTCTGTGACTGTTTCTGCTTTTTGAACAATTTGTGAAAGTTTTTCAAATCATATCTGAAGCCCTGTGGTGTTTCGTTTGATAAAACTCGTTACTCTGAGGTGGATTTCCAGTCTTAGCTGAGTCTAGAATACCAATATTTGTTGTTTTTGTTTTTTTGAGCAGTTTAGGAAAACTCCACACCGACTATGGAATGATTTCTGAAAGATGAAAGTCTGTAATGGATTGTCACAATAAATGATGCATGAAGTGAAATATCAAAGTAACATTTCTCTGAATTTACTACTAGACAACCATTAAAATGTATGACCATTGTGGATGTTGTGTGGATTAATGCTGCAGTAAATTAAATTAAAGTACATCAACATATCAGTCTCATGTTCTATCGAATTACAACTGAATCAAAATGTCTTTTGCATCAGAGTAAACCAGCTTCTTTGATAAACTGAACCTGATGTGACGGTTTTTCCTACTCGACTTGATCTTCACTTTAATTGAAGCAACAGAATCAATTTAATTTCAGAATGTTAATTATGTAGACATCGGGTTGTGCTAAAAAGTGAATACCTGCCAGGATTTGTGTGCCTTATTTGATTATCTTTGGTTCTAAAGATTTATAAATTCAGAAATATAACGAAAAAGTAATATTTTTGTAAATGTAGTACCGTATGCTTCAGAAAGAGAAGAATAGGAACAATATATTTAAGCTGCAAGCAGCTCAGTTTTAGTCAGTGAGGCAAAACGTTTACAACTCAGCTTAAAAAAAACCTTCCTGTCAGACACAATGACATAATCTGTCAGTTGTCCTGCACCATCTGTTGCTGTGCAGCTACATGCTCAGACCTGAGCTGTAGCTCAGAGGAAAGAACAACCACTTTTCCTCACTGCTGCGTTCTTGGACTTCATTGCAGAGGACTGGGGCCTTTCAGCTACTGTTGCTATTGTGCTTAGAAACCGTTTCACTAAAGAGGCTCTTTAGCAACTAAAGACTGTTGTTATCACTGTTACTGTGGTATAAATATCCTGTAATAAATAAACAATGCTTTGCCTGGTGGGGTGCAGGTACAGCCTGGTGACCCGCCAGGCTGACAGTAGTGAGATTTGCTCTCTTCCATTCTATAGGTATGAAAACTGGCTGAGAGCTAACAGTGTACGTTTCCTAAAGTCCTCCTGAATCAGTGTTGGTGTTTGTATCTGCTCTACTGTGGTTCATGTGTTCACTACTTTAGACTACAGTGCTTTGACTCGTCACAGGAAAACTCACATAGTTGAGGCGTCTTCATCAGAAAACTCATTTACAGAATAGAAGCTTCTCTCCTAAGAGTTTCAAAACAAAGTAAAAGGCTCAATTTTCACTGATGAACTCATGACTTCAATCTGAAGCTTGTAGGTTTTTTCAGCCAGAAAAATGCTGATGGTTCAACAGACGTGGATTTTATTGGAGATCATAAAGATCCTCAGACCAACATGTTTGGAGTTCAGATTTTCTTTGAGAATATCTCTAATCTGTCTGAATATGTTGAGTTGAGATTTTACAAACATTCTTACTGTATGTTTACATCATTATGTTACATCAAGTTTTGTTTGAAATGTTCTTTTCTTTTTTTAAAGTTTTTGAGGAATCGAATGTGTTTACATTGGGTTTAATCTTTAACAAAATTTGCAGGAATAAACATTTATAATCCATAGCATTTCTTACGTTTAGAATTGAGTTTTGGGATAGATATTTATTTAATCATTTATCACTTTTCATAATACTTTTTATAAAAATTTTGATTTATTGTTTTATTACATTTTAGTTGATATTTTAAAAAACTGTATTTTCTGGATTATTTTTACTATTTTCTCTGTATAAATAAGAAATATATTTATGCAACATCACACTTGAAGATGCTTCTTATTTTCAAACTATTTTTAATGTTGTTCTGCTTTCAATGTCTTTTTTAAGGTTCAGTTCCATTTACTAAACATTTCTAAACTACATTCATATGCACAAAATATGTAGTGAAATAACATGCACTTAAATATATTGTATATAACAGAATAGAATATTTTACTGAAGTTACTATATTTTGCACAAATTGCATGTTTTACTTCATACAAATTTTTTTTTGTCAATGTTTGTAAAATCGTTGCTGAAATAAAGGTTGAAATGTTTTCATACTTTTAGTAGATTATTCTGAATTCTGTCAGAAAATTCAGTCAAGTCTGGAATTAAAGAGGAAAAAACTAACTAAGGTTTGCAGCAAAGACAGAACTTAAGAGGCCACAACTGTTTCCGCCGGAAGTCTCACGGTGAGACTTCCGGCGGAAGTGATGCGCTAGCAGCGTTAGCTCCCAAGCTACGTTCTGTTTATCGTGGTTTTAAAGAGGTTTTCTGCTGCGTGACGTGAACATTTCAGTGTCTGCAGTGACGGCGCGTTGGGTTAATCACCAGAGAGAATCCATCCGCCAGAAGCGGCAGGTTTTCAGCTGTTCGGCTCTGAATCAACCGACACTGAAAACACGGAACTAGTTGATGCCGCGGAGGAAGCAGGACCCGTCCAGCTCCATTATTTGCGTCGTTTGTTTTCTTTCCTTTGTAATTTTGAGAAACTGGAACAGCAAATCAAAACCGGCGTGAAAATGATTCACCAATGAAGAAACAAGATTCTCCGGACTTCCGGGTATTTTAGTGGGGTTTTATTTGGCTCTGACCCACATTGATCATGTTTATTGATCATTCATTGATCATGTCCATTGATAACCAATATTATCTGTGATTTTGTTGCCTTTGCAGACAGAAACACATTAAAGCTCATTTTTCCTCCCTGTCTGGATCTAAATTAGACTAAACTTCTGTTTTTTGGGTTAATTTACTTCTGAGTGTCTTCAGAATCTGAAGTTCACACAGATCCTCCAGAATCCCTCTGGTTTCCTTCCTCAGGAACAAAAACATTTTGTCAACCCAAACCAAGAATGATTCAATCACTAATAAAGGAGCTAATAGGTAAAATACCTTTTGGTGAAATCTGCCATATGTGATCCTGAATCCATTTTAATGTGAGGCTCATTACTAGAAATCCAATTGAATCAAATCATACAGACAGATTTTAAGTTATCCTTGCTGTTAAACGATGCATTAAGTTTGTTTATTATTCATTTTGGTTAAAAGTTTTTCTGACTTGCAGCGTTCACTCCAACTGGAAATGCATGTAGCGACAGTGGAGAGGAAAACTAACCGGAAGATTCCTGCAGCAGAGCTGAGCCTGGTTGATCAGCCGCCAGCCGGGGCTGAAAAAACAGGAGAGACTGAGAACTGGGGCTGTCAGAATAATCAATATGTTGATATAATTGGTACTGGAACATTATTCAGATTCAGACTGACCTGTTCATATCTGCCCAAACTGTCCCTGCAGCTTCGTTCCAGGAAGAGCAAACAGAGATTTTCTGAGGCGGACGGACAGGAAGTGCTGCAACACTGATGTTTGGGAAAAACGTAAAAAGGTAAGTGAAGCTGCATCAGATAATGAAGCAAAGCGCTTGGTTGATGCCAGCTAACGCTAGCCGTCTGCATGATCTGACTGTAATCTGCTGCATCTCCTGCTGTTGGAACCAACAGTTAATCTCACTTGTTCAGTTTTTGAATGGATCGGAACCTTTTTCATTTATTATAACAACCTGTAAAACATTTTTTTGGTTAAAGCAACAAGTTTAACTTCAGATAAAATAAATATTTATAGCTGAAATATCCATTATTTATCCACTAATATTTCTTTTTGTAGCTTATCAGGGGAATTAAAGACACTGAAAATAATTTAATGATCATAACAGTTCAGAGGAAAATCCTTGCATTAGGCAGTTTAGTAATGGTTTTACTTGAACAAATTAATTCCCTTTAAGAAGCAAGTTAGAAAGATTCTCCATTAAAATGTTGAGTTTCAAAAACTTCAAACAACAGAAGCATTAAAGTAGAAACTGTAATAAAATCCACTCCAGTTTTTGATAGTTGTTCTCATTGTGTAAGAACAGGACGGGATTCATGGTCAGCTTATAAAAAGTCATCACAAGGGATGCATGTTAACTTTATGTGACACAGATAAGCAATAGTTTTCTAATTCTACAAGCCAATAATCAATAATAAGCAATAACATATCTACAGTCTGGTAAACAAAAATATAAAGCTGCAACATCAACAGTCCAACAAAACCAGGAACAGCTGACTTTAAAAAACTTATAACAATGTGAAAAAAACTATTAAGCCACATTTGCAAAACATATGAACAGAAACCAGATCTCAAATGGAAATATATTATAATAAATTATAATAAATCTACATTCATGACTGTGTCCCTGATTTTCATGTATTAAAACTGGAACTCACCCAGTCAGGAGGCTTTCTGCAACGCTGCTGACCTGACTGATGATAGGCCGGCGTTAGCATTAGCATCGGAGAGGCTGGGGACTGGCAGCCTAGTTCAATCACAGTTAAAGCTTTCAGCATCCTCAGTTCAGAAAGAACGTTTTCCTTCTGCTGGAGCTTCAGGCGAATGCAGCAGCGATCGATTCACTGACCTGAGTTAGCAGGACAGCTGATGGAAAATATAACAGTCCAGTAACTTTAACTATTCTGTAAGCATCAAAACAGAAACAAAGAAATGTAATAAATCCTCCTCAAGTGAAAATGTGTCTTAACATCTGATTCCTGCAGGTCTTGATTCCTGCTGGTCTTGATTCCTGCAGGTGTTGATTCCTGCAGGTCTTGATTCCTGCTGGTCTTGGTTCCTGCAGGTCTTGATTCCTGCTGGTCTTGATTCCTGCTGGTCTTGATTCCTGCTGGTCTTGATTCCTGCAGGTGTTGATTCCTGCTGGTCTTGATTCCTGCAGGTGTTGATTCCTGCAGGTCTTGGTTCCTGCAGGTCTTGATTCCTGCTGGTCTTGATTCCTGCAGGTCTTGATTCCTGCAGGTCTTGGTTCCTGCAGGTCTTGGTTCCTGCAGGTCTTGATTCCTGCAGGTGTTGATTCCTGCAGGTCTTGATTCCTGCTGGTCTTGGTTCCTGCTGGTCTTGAGTACTGCAGGTCTTGATTCCTGCTGGTCTTGGTTCCTGCTGGTCTTGAGTACTGCAGGTCTTGATTCCTGCTGGTCTTGGTTCCTGCTGGTCTTGAGTACTGCAGGTCTTGGTTCCTGCAGGTCTTGATTCCTGCTGGTCTTGGTTCCTGCTGGTCTTGAGTACTGCAGGTCTTGGTTCCTGCAGGTCTTGATTCCTGCTGGTCTTGATTCCTGCAGGTCTTGATTCCTGCAGGTCTTGGTTCCTGCAGGTCTTGATTCCTGCTGGTCTTGATTCCTGCAGGTGTTGATTCCTGCAGGTGTTGATTCCTGCTGGTCTTGGTTCCTGCAGGTCTTGATTCCTGCTGGTCTTGGTTCCTGCTGGTCTTGAGTACTGCTGGTCTTGGTTCCTGCAGGTCTTGATTCCTGCAGGTGTTGATTCCTGCTGGTCTTGATTCCTGCAGGTCTTGATTCCTGCAGGTCTTGGTTCCTGCAGGTCTTGGTTCCTGCAGGTCTTGATTCCTGCAGGTGTTGATTCCTGCAGGTGTTGATTCCTGCAGGTCTTGATTCCTGCTGGTCTTGATTCCTGCAGGTCTTGATTCCTGCAGGTCTTGATTCCTGCTGGTCTTGGTTCCTGCTGGTCTTGGTTCCTGCAGGTCTTGGTTCCTGCAGGTCTCGATTCCTGCTGGTCTTGGTTCCTGCTGGTCTTGAGTACTGCAGGTCTTGATTCCTGCAGGTCTTGATTCCTGCTGGTCTTGATTCCTGCAGGTGTTGATTCCTGCAGGTCTTGATTCCTGCAGGTGTTGATTCCTGCCGGTGTTGATTCCTGCTGGTCTTGGTTACTGCTGGTCTTGATTCCTGCTGGTCTTGATTCCTGCTGGTCTTGGTTCCTGCAGGTCTTGGTTCCTGCAGGTGTTGATTCCTGCAGGTCTTGATTCCTGCAGGTGTTGATTCCTGCAGGTCTTGATTCCTGCAGGTCTTGGTTCCTGCAGGTCTTGGTTCCTGCAGGTCTTGATTCCTGCTGGTCTTGATTCCTGCTGGTCTTGATTCCTGCTGGTCTTGGTTCCTGCAGGTCTTCCACTGCATCATGTCTGTTGCTACCTGTCGAGAACTTCCTGATCGCCTTCTGATAACTGGAGACAGAAAGTCCATTCCTGACGACGAGGCGCCAAACCGTTTACAAATAAAGGAGGAGCAGGAAGAAGCAGAACCACAGCAGGCGAGTGACCCAAACGAGCAACCAGAACCGCAGCCTCAGAAAGAAGAACATGTTGAAGTCTGGGTCTTTCAGGCACAGCAGGAGACCAGCGTCTCGACGGCGTATGTGGACCCAGAGCAACACAATGAACCAGAACAGCTGCAGGGTATAAAGCAGGAAACCGAATCGGTGGAGATTAAAGCAGAACCGGAGGATTTCTACAAGAGTCAGGATGAAGGTCTACTTGAGGTGAAGCAGGAGCCTGAAACCTCGACGGTGACTCCAACTCATCACAACATCGATCCAGAACCAGGCACCAACCAGCCGAGCTCCTCTGAAGAACTGAAGCCACAGCAGGGAGGAAGCGACCAGAACACATATTCTTGTAACGTGTGTCAAAAATCTTTCACAGCTCGTAAGAATTGGATTTATCACATTAAAACCCATAAAGAGGAGAAGCCTTTCCTATGTCTGACTTGTGGAAAAGGTTTCATTTGGAAATCAGCTTTGAAGCTCCACCTTAGAATGCACACAAATGAGAAACCGTATCCCTGTGAAGTGTGTGACAAATCTTTCAGTAAAAAGAGTTATTTGGCTCGTCACATTAGGGTTCACGGGGATGAGAGGCCGTTTCCTTGTGACCTCTGTGGGAGAACATTCAGACACAGCAGTAATCTGGCCCATCACCGTAAAACTCATACAGCTGACAAACCTTATTCCTGTGACTTGTGTGACAAACAGTTCAGCGAACACAGTGGCTTGGCCAACCACCTTACGACTCACTCAGACGAGAAACCTTACCCTTGTGAACTGTGTCACAAATCTTTTAATAAAAGGAGTTATTTGGCTCGTCACATTAGGGTTCACGGGGATGAGAGGCCATTTCCTTGTGACCTCTGTGGGAGAACATTCAGACACAGCAGCAATCTGGCCCATCACCGGAGAGCTCACACAGGTAAAAAGCTTTATTTTTGTGACTTGTGTGGCAAACCTTTTAGCAAGCATAGCAGTTTAGCTGATCACCTTAAAACTCACACTGATGAGAAGCTGTATTCTTGTGAACTGTGTGATAAATCTTTCAGTAAAAAGAGATATTTGACTCGTCACAGAAGGATTCATGGAGATGAGAGGCCGTTTGCTTGTGACCTCTGTGGGAGAACATTCAGACACAGCAGTAATCTGGCTCGTCATCATAAAGCTCATACAGCTGACAGCCATTATACTTGTAGTTTGGCTGATCACCTTGGAACTCACACAGACGAGAAACCATATCCCTGTGAACTGTGTGATAAATCCTTCAGTAAAAGGAGTTATTTGGCTCGACACAGAAGGATTCACAAGGATCAGAGGCCTTTCTCTTGTGATCTGTGCAGCAGACACTTCAGACACAGTAGTAATTTGTCTGAACATCGTAGAACTCACGCAACTGAAGAGCATTATTCTTGTGACAAACATTTTATCGACCAGAGTAGTTTGTCAAGTCACCTTAAAACTCACACAGACGAGAAACCGTATCCCTGTGAACTGTGTGATAAATCCTTCAGTAAAAGGAGTTATTTGGCTCGACACAGAAGGATTCACTGGGATGAGAGGCCATTTAGTTGTGACTTCTGCAGTAAAACCTTTAAACACAGCAGTAATTTGGCTCGTCACCGCAGAGCTCACACAGCCGAGCCTCTGAGCAACTCCAGCTGTTTGGCTCCTCACAAAGACAACACGCCTCATTCCTGTCAAAAAATCTTTTAGAAAAACATGGACTTGATTCATCACCTTCACACTCACACAGGTGAGAAGCCATGTTGTTTGTAGTCTTTGTAGGAAACGTGTCCAGCCATTTCCTCGTCATTTTGTCCACTGCAGTGATTTAGCTCTTCATAAAAACACAAAGAGGAAACTTTCCACAAATTTAAACTAAACTGGTGTCAATCGTTTGTGCAGCAATGTAATCTTTTTGTGCTGCCATCTTTTTAAAGATATGAATAAACTTTTCCAGAGGTCATCAAAGGTCAGCCAGCCCTATGATGACCTCTGGAAACATTTATTCATATCTTTAAAATACAGCAGCACAAACCAAAACACGTAGCTGGAATTTATTTAATTTGAATAATGTGAGAAAGACACTTTCCTCAGGTAAAGAACCAAAACATTATTATTTATGCAAGAAATCTTTCAAATGATTGACTTCAAACCCAAACATAAACCCTCTGGACCAGGCGGCGGTTCGGCCCGGCAGAAAAGCTCAGGGTTAAGAAGCATAAAGGTCATTCAGTTTACTTTATTAGCAATTTCCATCATGTAGAGCAGAAGCCAGATATTCATATCCAACAAATAAAAAGATGCACAAACATTTAATGTTGCTGAAGTTGAAGCAGACCGGGCGTCTCTCGTTTGGGTCCGTTACAATCGGCTCCGGTTGCTGAAGCGTCCCGTACCGACATGGGCTGAGCGGCCGCTCGGCGAGGACGAAGCCGTCGCCCCAAAAGAAAACCCAAATCACAAAGACTGGCCCCGTTCTACTTCTTTGGTTCGACAAGAAAATGCCTCATCAATACCTGATCAGAGCGTCGGACTGGAGATGTTAGTCAAACTGTCTCTTCACTGTCTGTTTAAATTCCCTCCTTTATTAGCTACCAACACTTTGTTTAAATGTCCAAATGTTCTTTGTTTTCAAGCAGCGAATGCTCACTGTGAACGCACTGATCAGCTAAACGGTTAATTATACATCTTCCTTGTAAAGTTGTGATGAATAACATCAGCAGGTTTTACCTCTCAGATCATCTTCCACATCCTCCTAACTTTCTGCAGGCAGCGGCGGCTCAAATGTTTCCTTCTGCCAAACCAGAGCAGGACGTTAAAAACTGGACAATTAGAATCAGGTCTGGATGAAATCTGTTCCTGAACCAGGCTGTCAGACTCCAGACCTGGAGGTTTTAGAAACAAAACACAGGAAGGAAAGGCTTGGTTTAACCCAGAGTGGCTCGGTTCTCCAGAACCTGGATGAGCTCATTGTTTTGTCCACAGGCTGCAGGGCAGCCAGTGACCTCCAGGTCTGGAGTTTGACCCCTGTGGTGTAAATCAACAAACTGTTTTCTAATTCTGATGCTGTATTTTAGTTTCTTATGCAAAGTATTAACATTTGGCAAAGTTCCTTCTTAATGAAGCTTTACATTGTTCACCGGAAACACTATTTGCTACTAAATGTGTTTTATATGAGTTGGACCTACTAAGAATTTAAAATGTAACTTCATGAATAAACGCTTTTTCTTTTTGTTGTTATATTTTCCTAGATAACTTTTAAAGTCACTGAAAAAAGGATTTTGTGTTTATAAGACTTTTTATTGTTAAATGAGACTCAGATTTTGTGTGTAACAGAAGCACCATAACCCCGGAGGTCAAAGTTCATCTGTGTGCAGTGATGACTGATTGAGCAACTGGAAATCAGGGAAAATAATCTCTTCAATCTGAGTTTCCTGTCTTTATGTATTATTACTTTTTACTGCTGCAGGTTTATGGAGGATGAATTTTACTGAATATGTTGAAACATTGAACCTTTGAGAAGCTGAACATCTTCAATCATTCAGATCATTTACATCCTGATTTTCACCTGGAAAATAAGGATTTATATATATATATCTATATATCTATCTATATATCTATATCTATCTAACTATATATATCTATATCTATATATAGATATAGATATATATAGATATATCTATATCTTCCAATTTTCCCATCCTTTAAAAAATAACCGATCGAACTCTGGGTATCTATATCTATATATAGATATAGATATAGATATATATAGATAGATAGATAGATATATAGATATAGATATTTGTTATATTTACACATTTCCGGCCCGCAGCGGAACTGAAATGATGTGAGCTGTTTCTGGGGGAAGTCTACATGTGAGGCTTCCAGCGGAAGCGAACGCGATATTAGCATCGTTAGCTTCCAGACTTCCTGGTTTGTCGTGGATCAGGAATCGGTTCCTGTTTCAGTATCTGCAGTAAAACATCTTCGGTTCGGCGCCAGAGAGACGAACAGCAGCCCAGTCTGCCGGAACCAGAACCAGCTGGGAACCCGAACCGCCCCGGAACCTGCAGGTATGCTAACGAACGGTTCTGATTGAACGGTTCTGATCGAACGTTCCGACTGAACGGTTCTGATTGAACGGTTCTGATCGAACTCTGGGTAAAGTCTTTCATTCCGCCCATGTTGGCTGTTCATTAGAGAAGCCAAATGACAGACGGGCTTCCAATTTTCCCATCCTTTAAAAAATATCCGGTCAAATACAGAAAATATTCAGTGCGAACTATAAATGAGAAGCTTTTTTTGTTTTGGGTCAAACCGGTCAGAACCCAGTCATAAGATTCTACTTTCCTAAAAAGCAGCAGAACTTCCAACATGTAGCTGCAGTAAAAGCAGTAAAATTGACGAGAAATTTTAAAATATCACTTGATAAATCTGTTATTGAAAGATGTAAGACTAATTAACGCCAACTATAAACTCTTTAGAAATTCAGACATTTTAAAAAGACTTAAATTAACGATGCTTAGCCTGGTGGCCCGCCAGGCTTATGATACTGGGGCAAATCGTGTGTACTGAAACCCCTGATCAGAAAAAAGAAGCTACCTTTAGGTTTTAAATGATAATATTTAGATGGACTGAAATCCTTCATCACAATGATCTTTTAAAAATAGAGATATCAAATGGTAAATATGTAATTTCCAGCCTGAAATTCAAACTGTAATATACATTTTTTATGATGTGGAGCAGATATGCATCTATAACAAGCTAAAAAAGAAGCAACAGAATAATGAAGATGTTTTCCCCATCGCTGTACGACTTGAACAAGTTGCGTTGCCCCACAGTTGCTTACGCCTCAGCAACTTCTGGTTGCATCAGCACCTGAACCCAGAGTTCAATAACTGGGGCAGCAAAGAGTAAAGATTGATGAACACAATCAGCTCAAAACAATGATGTGTATGTGACTGATTAACTCTGCAATTATTTTATTTTATTAGTATGTTTATGCATTAAAAACGGTGGTGGACATTTTACAGTTTTACACATGAAGCAGCTTCAGGACCAGGAGATAAAAAATGTATTAAATGAAATTTACTAAACAAAACAAACAAAACTTCACATGTGGGACAAATTGTTAAAAAGAGCAAGAAACCTGAAAATCTGACAACCGATTTGGTTTCTAATGTGTTTAGTCACAATTAGACCTTTTAGTCCACCCGCTTTAATATAAAATATAATATATATCCCTAACATGTTACGTAGTTGTGTCCTGTCTGACCGATGTAAACGTCACTGGAGCCCAGAAAACCTGAAAACCTTTTACTAATGAATGAGCTGCTTTACTCTTATTACCACATTGTTAGACCAGAGTGTCAGCTGCAGGTCTGTTTCTGGCCTGCAAGCTAACTGAGAAGCTGACTAAGAAGCTAACTGAGAAGCTGACTCAGAAGCTAACTGAGAAGCTGACTCAGAAGCTAACTGAGAAGCTAACTGAGAAGCTGACTAAGAAGCTTACTCAGAAGCTAACTAAGAAGCTAACTGAGAAGCTGACTAAGAAGCTAACTGAGAAGCTGACTAAGAAGCTAACTGAGAAGCTGACTAAGAAGCTAACTGAGAAGCTGACTCAGAAGCTAACTGAGAAGCTGACTAAGAAGCTAACTGAGAAGCTGACTCAGAAGCTAACTGAGAAGCTGACTAAGAAGCTAACTGAGAAGCTGACTCAGAAGCTAACTGAGAAGCTGACTAAGAAGCTAACTGAGAAGCTGACTAAGAAGCTTACTCAGAAGCTAACTAAGAAGCTAACTGAGAAGCTGACTCAGAAGCTAACTGAGAAGCTGACTAAGAAGCTAACTGAGAAGCTGACTAAGAAGCTAACTGAGAAGCTGACTAAGAAGTGAACTGAGAAGCTGACTCAGAAGCTAACTGAGAAGCTGACTCAGAAGCTAACTGAGAAGCTGACTCAGAAGCTAACTGAGAAGCTAACTGAGAAGCTGACTAAGAAGCTTACTCAGAAGCTAACTAAGAAGCTAACTGAGAAGCTAACTGAGAAGCTGACTAAGAAGCTAACTGAGAAGCTAACTGAGAAGCTAACGGAGAAGCTTACTAAGAAGCTAACTAAGAAGCTAACTGAGAAGTAGAAACCTGAGGACAAAAACAGTGACAGAGTAACTCATGCTGCCAGCCTCTGATCTGTTCGTAATAATGAAGGTTTATAACATATTTTCATACATATTTCCACACAGTTTTGTGCTCTAGTGACTTTAGTGACAATTGGATTTGATGAAATTCAAAAATGGTTTCAATCTTGAGGGGAAATCACAGATTGTAGCTGGTCTGATGCAGGTTTCTTCAGAGCGAAGTTCTTCTGTAACATCTGGAACGATCCAGATCGTCACATCATCAATCCTCCTCTGCACAACAATTTCTAATGTCTCCAGAACAGAAGCAGCATTTTTATTTTCAAATGAGTGGATCGATCCCAATCCACTCATTTCCTGTGGAGCTTTGCATATTGGCCTGTCGTGATAAACAATAAATCAATTCATCGCTCAGCAAAATTTGTGATTGTGAGAGGCCTGTTGGCATATCAAATCTCATCAGGACAATAACGGTAAACAGCAAATACCATTTCAGCAAGCAGTTATTGTTGCAGCAAGCAGTTATTGTTGCAGCAAGCAGTTATTGTTGCAGCAACCAGTATCATCCCTTCAACATGGGACTGGTTGCAGTTGCCCCTCCTCCTGTCCCGCCCTCAGTCTGCTTCCACTTCCTGTCTCTCCTCTGGACTGAAGTCTCCTCTATAAAATAATTTGGCTCCCTCCTTGAAGTCTCTTTTTCTTTCCTGTCAGTTCCTTATTGCCCCAGGCCAGCCGGGATGTTCTGGAGGAAACGCCTCATTTTGGGGGTTGTTCTGAGTCGGTGATGTCATCGCAGGCGGCTGGCACGGTGCATCACGATCTGTAACCTCCCACCGAACAACAGGCCGTTTTTTTTTTTGTTTGTTTTTTCTGAATCAGTTAAAAGTTAAAAGTTGTGACAGGCCTCTGGATGAAACTTTCCAACTATCATTAAAACTTAATTTCATAAAGTAAGGCGGTCGCCCTGTTGAATAGCACCAATTATTCACGATTATTCCTTTTTGCTTTTCTTTTTTCCAACATATTTTCATATAAAATATTTAAATCTTACCACTTTTGTCATGTAATTTGTGGCTAAACTTTAAGTCAACAGATTGTTCATACAAGATTGGTAATCTATATCAGAAAATATTGCTTGCCGCATTTTGCAAGATCACCGTTTAATATATATTTTCTGCTCAAATATGTTTTCTGACAGGGATTGTTCTTATTTTTAGTGTTTAACTTCCAGTTTATTAAAATTTTCTAAATTTAAAAACGAAGTTCCTAAAACTTAAAAATGTGTATTTGAAAGCTAATTGACCAGATTTTAGATGATTATTTTTAAAACCTATTTTTATACATCAGTAAAAAAAAACTATTAAAATCTCGACCCTTAAAGTGTTTCCAGGTTTCTTTCAATTAGTTTTTTACAGAAATGCCACTGATGTTCTTCCTTCAGGTTCTCCACAGCATCATGTCTGTCACTTCTGAGGTTCTGCATGATGATCTTCTCATGGCCAAAGAAAGACGGATAAAAGAGGAGGAACCAGAACCACAGACTGAGACAAACTGGGAACCAGAACTTCAACCAATCAAAGCAGAACAAATTCAGCTGTGGGTCTTTCAGGATGATGGGCAGCTTTTAATGAAACAGGAGAGCAGCGCCTCAATGGTGAGTGCTGGCGCTGACCCAGAACTGGAGCAGTGGACGGACACCAAGCAGGAACCAGAACCTGTAGAGATTAAAAAGGAACCAGCGGATCCAGAACCGGTGAGGATCAAAGAGGAACATGAGGATTTCTGCAGTGATCAGGTTAAAGATCATGTTGTGGTGAAGCAGGAGCCTGAAACCTTGGTGGTGAGTCCTGCTAATGAGCAAAAACCCATCAGTGATCCGGAACCAGCCAGGAACCAGCTGTTCTCTGGAAGCCATCCTGCAGATGTGAACCAACATCAGCCAGGAAGCAACCAGGAAGTCTCAGGGTCCAGTAAAGGCCTGCAGCTGGAGAACAGACCTCAGCACCGCAGAAGTTACAGGGACAATGTGGACATTTTAGAACTAGAAAGGCAAAAATCTGCTGCGTCCCGTTGCAGCGTTTGTGGTAAATGTTACACTAAACCGTACTATTTGACTGCTCACATGAAAACACACACGAGGGAAAAGGTGCACTGCAAAATTTGTGGTAAAGCTTTCAGAAAGCACAGAAACTTGACTGTTCACATGAAAATTCACTCCGGTGAAATGCCTCATGTTTGTGAATCATGTGGTAAATCTTTCAGAAAGAGCTGCGAGTTAGCCCATCACTTTGCCACTCACACAGACGAGAAACCGTTTAGTTGTGAATCTTGTGGTAAATCTTTCAGAGATCGTTCTTATCTATCCTACCATATCAAAATGCGGGCAGACGCAAAGCCGCTGGCTTGTAAAGTGTGCGGTGAATCCTTTTACTCTTCCTGTCTTTTAAGTAGTCACAAGAGAACTCACACAGCTGACAGGTCTTTCTCATGTCTGACCTGTGGAAAGGATTTCACCATGCAGTCTAAGCTAACTGCACACATGAGAATTCACTCCGGGGAGAAGCCGTACTCGTGTAGCGTTTGTGGTAAGACTTTCAGAGTTGCCAGTCAGTTGACTGTTCATGTAAGAACTCACTCGGGTGAGAAACCATATTCATGTAACGTTTGTGGGAAAACGTTCAGAGTGGCCGGTCAGTTGACTGTTCATACAAGAACTCACACAGGTGAGAAGCCGTACACATGTAACGTTTGTGGTAAGACCTACAGGCAGGCCGGTCAGTTCAGAGTTCATGTAAGAACGCACGCAGATGAAAGGCCTTATTCTTGTGAGCTGTGTGAGAAATCTTTCAGAGAGAGATATCATTTAGCTAATCATCTCAACACTCACGCAGAAGAGAAGCCTTATCCCTGTGAGCTGTGTAATAAATCCTTTCGATGTGGTGGTCGTTTATCTAAACACCTTAAAACTCACACAGCTGAGAAACCTTTTTTGTGTTTGACTTGTGGGAAAGATTTCACCCAGCAGTCTGACCTAGATGCGCACATGGAAACTCACAAAGCAGAAAGGCCATATCCTTGTGAGCAATGTGACAAATCTTTCAGAGAGAGTAGTCATTTAGCCAATCACCTTCGGACTCACACAGCTAAGAAACGCTTTCCTTGTGGATCATGTGAAAAATCTTTCAGGTGGAGTTCTGAGTTAACCAATCACCTCAGAATTCACACAGGTGAGAAACTCTAGTTGTGCATCTTGTGAGAAGTCGTTCACACAGCGCAGAGAACCGACCGGCCACACGAGAACTCGAAGAGGAAGAGGGTAGGCTAATTACTATTTCAATTGTTACATTGTTACCATTTATGACCATAAACTGCGGCACGTCACTGAATCACCGCACTGAAGGGTCAAATAGTTTTTACCTGCCAAATAATGTAAATGAATGTTTTTAGATGTAATTTTGGCCTGGAAAAGATAAAACGCATGAATCTGTATATGAAGAGTAATGTTTTCCCCAGTAGCAACGTTATTCTTTGTCAGTTATAATAACTTGGAATCTAATGAACATCACATGCTTCAGAAAAACAAGTCGCCATGATGACGACGGTGCTGCTGCTAGCAGGCGCAGGCTAAGCCCGGTGAGGCTAGCTTTAGCCCGGTGAGGCTAGCTTTAGCTCGGTGAGGTTAGCTTTAGCTCGGTGAGGCTAGCTTTAGCTCGGTGAGGCTAGCTTTAGCTCGGTGAGGCTAGCTTTAGCTCGGTGAGGCTAGCTTTAGCCCGGTGAGGCTAGCTTTAGCCTGGTGAGGCTAGCTTTAGCTTGGTGAGGCTAGCTTTAGCTCGGTGAGGCTAGCTTTAGCCCGGTGAGGCTAGCTTTAGCCTGGTGAGGCTAGCTTTAGCTTGGTGAGGCTAGCTTTAGCTCGGTGAGGCTAGCTTTAGCCCGGTGACCAGTCAGCTCTTGGTTTTACACAATGCAGCCGCCATTATTGTGGTTTTCTGTTTTTAACTCCTCTTCAGTGTCATGTATTGATTCAGGTTTATGATAAATGTTTCAATATATATTTTAAGTTCTAGTAAGACAAGATCGAAAATGCGTTTACTGTATTATGCGTTTTCCAGCCATATAGTATCATTTTATAGCATTATCAAGTAACTATGTTTTGTTTGGTTGTTATAAAAATACTGTATATATAAAATGACTTAACAATTTAATGCGTTGACATTTGGGGCTCTGTCACTTTAAGAAGCTCCTGCTCTTTCTGCTGCCAGCACGTCATCACATCAACATTCCTCTTTAATCCTTTACTAAAACGACAGGCCTGTAAATGTGTACCGTACTTACAATATGATGGATCATGACAAAAATAAAGGAATCTGTGGTTCTGTTGTTCAGAAAGCAGCTATTTATTTCAGTCGATGGATAAATGACGAGAGTTTAACTGTTCAAAACGTTTCACTGCTGTCAATAACTTATTCATCCAGCATATAACTTTAAATGCACATCAGTTGATGTTCTGCATTTGGTGGCAGTGTAGGTTGCGGGTTTGAATCCCCACCTGGGGTTTTCTGAATAGAGTCGGTTCAAGTCTTCTTGGGGACTCCAGCTGCTGCAGTCCGAGTTGTGGCTCCCCAGGGTGTGTCCTGGTTCTCTGACCCAGTGATCAGAGGACCAGGTCACCGGTTCCCAAGTGGATAAAAGCACAGAGCGTTTAGTGGAGGCCCCGCCCCCTTCGCCTCCACCCATCTCACTCCCTGCTTTCACTGTGTTGCTAAACGGTCGCTGAGAGCGGAGAAGAAGCAAAATATCAATATTGCTGTCTTGAATAAAACATGGCAACAAACTTCGCACAGAGCTGTGTTGAAATAGTTTGACTTCCTGTGTGGAGAACAGGAAGCAGATTTCTCTCTGTGAACAAAATGTCGCCATTTTCATCACGTCTGAATGACTGAGAGGCGATTCGACACGTTGGCTGCAGCATGTGGAAGCTTGGAGGATGTTACTGACATGACCAGATGAAATTAGTCAGGCTGAGATTTTGTCAGGTAGATCATTTTCACCCAGCTGTAGATGGATGATGTTAGATGCTGAATGAGGGGAAGAACTGAACATTGTGAATATTTACCATCATAATGTCTCAGTCACAGAAACCCTCTGTGATCTGGTGAGAAGTTCAGGGACTTTCCGTCAAATCAGATAAATCCTCCCAGGCTTCAGAATCTGCCAACACAAAGCTGAGCATCAACCAAAACCCATTTATTACCCAGACATTCACTCATTATCCAAACTAGATCTAGTTGATTTATGGAGGTAGTGGATGTATTCAGCTAAACATTAAAAAATGACTGATTAAAATTGTCCTTATGTTGTTTACAAACATTAAACAATCACTTTCAAAGTGAGCTCTGGAGCCAGTTAATGTGTTTTGGTGCTTTATAAGCTAACAGACGTATTTTCAAGTGTTTGTTCTGAGATACAGAGGAAGGACTTCATTTAGTCTCCAAGATGAAAATCTGTGAGTTGAGAAGAGTGGATCATTTCTTGTTTTTTTTTTCTTTATTAGTGTTTTCTATGTGCTGAAAGTTTTGCCATCACGTGAATATTATGACTGGAAGCAGCCAGAATAGAGCAGAAATAACTTTCATTTTCCTCAGGGAAAAGATTCAGATGCAGCAGCAGGAAATGAAGATTCATAGAAAAAACAAAGTCAGACCAACTTACTGCTGGACTGTTCAAACAAATGAATATGATTTACTGGAAGTATTACTTTCATAACCTGGATGTTTTTACGTCCACTTTAGTAAATATATGCTGAGGTATTTGGCTGCTCTACCTCCTGCTTCTGTTGCCAAACAGATATTCATATTTGTAGCCTTTTTTTCCCTAAAAGCCAAATAAAAATTCCAAAAAATTAAATTATGAAAATGTGTGTTTGTGTTTGTTTTTAGCTACTGGGTTAATTTGCTGGCATCAGTGCGTTAGCTTGTTGATTAATCGAACATTGTTCGATCAAAAAAAACAAAGAATATCAAGTTCCGGTTCCGCTTTGTCACTAGGATTCTTTAATGTCGCGTTAACCACGTCTCTCCAGCAGGGGGCGGTAAAGCCGCTGCGTTCTGGGTTCCAGTTCGAACAGGAAGCAGCTCGGTGGCTAACTTCCGGTTAGCCTCCTGCTAGCAGCTGTGCTGTGTCCGGGTTCTGCTGCGGTTCTGTTGCGGTTCTGCGCAGCAACAATGTGTTCCGTTGAGCCTCTGAGGGAGTTTATCAGAGAGAGACTAACTGCTGCTGCTGAAGAAATCTTCACCCAGCTGGAAAAAACCATCGTCCGGTACGAGGAGGAGATCGACCGGCAGCGGAGGCTGCTGGACCTCAGCTGGACCCGAACCGAGCAGAACCCCGCAGGTCGGTCCGCTGGACCCGAACCGAGCAGAACCCCGCAGGTCGGTCCGCTGGACCCGAACCGGGCAGAACTCGGTCCGATGGTCAATATGAAGATTCTCGGATCAGATCCCAAAACCTTTCCGGTCCAAACAGCAACGCGCAGTTCGGTTGCTGCAAACTTCCGGTGGAGAATCTGCTGAACATTCTGCGCCTTCTGGCCTCAGACTGAATGTTTTAGTTTTTCAGCTCAAAGCTGAATTTGACTTTGTGGACGAACCTCCAGTAGCAGTCAGTCTTCCAACTAATCAGATGAGGCCTCTGACTGAAGATTGTTGCGGTTGACATGGTAACAGTTCAATATCCAGGCACCAGAGATGATCTACTCTGTGGTTAGCTAGCTCTGCTAATCCACCTCATTTGCTCTTGATGCTCCTCTTTAAATCTTGATTGTTTTCAGACTTTTCAGTGTGAAGAATGAATTCCTCCAGTTCAGCACTGCCCTGTAATAAATAACGCTAAATGTTCATTTAAAGTGTTAGTGACTAAATAAAATCTAAAACACAAAGAGTTATGATTAAAACACAACAAAACCAAGAAAACAGATGTTAAAAAGTCACATCTGGTTATTAAAGTGACTCTTTGTCAACATTTGGTCTCAGACTCAGAAATGAATTTTCTGTCTGTATCAAAACCACCGAAAGTTCTGCAAAATAAATGTAAACATTTAAAATGTATCATGTTTTTTTATTACCTCAAAACTATTTTAGAAACTGAAAATCCTGATAAAAAGAAATAAATATTTTTTTAGTTGTAAACAGACGGTGCAGGGAAGTTGACTGTCTCCATGGTAACGGACTGACTGACTCCAACCTGTCAGTTACCATGGAGACGGTCAGGTTTTGGACAGGAACCGGATGTAATCCTGGTTCCTCCGGAGCGGGCCTGTGGGACCAGAACCGCTCTCTGGGTCCAGTGGTTCTGATCTCCTCTCATGTTTTCCTCTGGTTCCCTCCAGACGTCCAGCGGCGTCTTCTGAGCAGGAAGCAGCAGGTTCTGATGGCGCCGCTGCTCTCCAACCACGAGACGCTTTCTGGACCGGCGGAACCAGAACCAGAAACTGTGGACCGGGACCCAGAGTGTGTGCGGGTGAAAGAGGAGCCGGACGATGAGATCGCGGGTCGAGATGAAGAGCAGCTCCGTCTCAAGCAGGAGGCCGATTCCTTCACGGTGAGTCCAGCTGAAGAGGATGGAGAGGACAGCAACCTGGACCCGGTCCCATCAGAACCGGGCCCATCAGAACCGGGCGCCGGAGCCCAGGATGAAGAGCCGGAGGCGAGCAGCCACGATGAGCTGAGCCGTGATGAACAGAGCGGGAAGCGGGCGGAGCCGAAGCTTCGGCAGACTCCGTTTTCCTGTAAGATGTGCAGCAAGTCTTTCAGGCAGAAGGGAAGCCTGACCAAACACCTGCGGCTGCACGCCGGCGGGAACCCGTTCACCTGCGCCAGCTGCGGCCGCAGCTTCCGCAAACACTTCAGCCTCATCGTCCACATGAGGATCCACACCGGGGAGAAACCTTTCCCCTGCCTCGTCTGCGGCAAGAGCTTCTGCCAGAGGGGAAACCTGAACGTCCACATGCGCACGCACACCGGGGAGAAACCCTTCCCCTGTCTCACCTGCGGGAAACACTTCCAGAGGAAGAGCAACCTGACCGCCCACACCAGGATTCACAAGAGGAACGCTGTGCGTTTCCATGGCGGCTATGAAGGCGGTCTGACTGGAGGAGGGGAGACGGATGCTCTGCCCATTTCCAACATGGCCGCCCTCAGAAGGCGTGGCGTTCCTGCAGCTGTCAGTTCTTCCTCGTTGCTTCTGTGTTAACGCTGCTTCATGTCTCTAACACATTCAACTTGTACAGAATCTCAGTTTTACGGTTTAACGTTGCAGAAACAAGAACTTCACAGTGAGTGTTTTAGGACAGTGGTGGATATGCGACTACTAAACATAACTACGTTTCCATCGTTTTTATGCACAGTTGGACGCATGGCATCAGAACAGGTTGATGGAAATGTCAAAATTCAAAATAATTAACTCAATTTCATAAAGTTTTCATGTCTCTTCAGGTGATTTAAGGCTTTTCCAAAAAAAGATTTAATGTGCTTAATGAGGATAAACTCTGCCATCTGCTGGTGGGTCTGTGCCTCACCAGAAGCACGGATCTGAAATGTTTGCTCCATCTTTAGCATCAACATCTGATGATTTATGGATCCTGGTTGATTTTAAAATTTCACTCAAAATTCACAGGAATTGGATGAACGATGATGATGTAACAAAATACAACAGATTTAAATATCAGCAAGTTTAGAACGTCAGACAGATGTTAGAGATCCTGGGTCCTTCAAACGGTCTGAGCTTTTTCAGTCCATATTTGGTCATTTCCTTTTGTTCTGGCATCTCTGGACCCGGCAGAACCTGGACAGGCCAGGCTGAAAGTCCAGCTTCACTGGGGTCAGAGGTCAAACAGCAGCACAGACTACACCACTTGGTGGTGATTAGTGTTTAATTCTAATTGAACTGAAATATATTTGTATTTATTTCCTTTAATATTTTTCTGGGAATATTTCATGATTTTGCAGTTTTAGGTTATTTTTCTGAGGTGCAATTCTTTAGTGATTCTATTATACTTTAACTTTTATGTTATTCTCATCATCCTCAGTTAAGTTTTGATGTTATTTATCTTTTTTATGGAAATCTAACCTTTAAATCATTTGAACAAACTCCTGCTGCTGTTTAACTGGGAACTGAAGCGTCAGAGTGGAAAATGTTTCTGTCGCAACTTTTTTTATTTAAAACAGAAGGTATAACTTAGAAATGTTATGTTTTTAATCTTGTGAAAATACGAACGTTTTGTCAATCAAAGGACATTCTGCTCCTGAATTTATTTCTGTTTCTGCACATCAACATCATTTATTATTCATCTTAACAGTAATAATTCCTTACAGATGGACAACCTGTACTGAAACACTGCTTGGTTATGAACAGAAATACAGAAACTTCAACGATTGAAAAGTAGAAATTACAGCCGAGAAGCAAAATAAATCATGTTTAATGCTCGCCTTGCTTAAGATTTAAACCTCTCATTTTACTCTCATTATAAATTATGGAAGTTACAAAACTACAGAAGAGGTTAAAAATATAATTGAGCCACAAAATTCCCTTTTTTGTGATTAAGATTGAAACTTGTTGGGTGGTCTGTGGTGGCGCGGTGGTTCAGCACAGCCCACATGGAGGCCTCAGTCTGCTGTCGCAGGTTCGATTCCCAGCCTGGTGACCTTTGCCCCGTGTCTTCCTGCCTCATTCGTGGCAGTTAACCATCAAATAAAGGCCCAAAAAAATCATTAAAAAAAGATAAAAAAATTGTTGCAACATGTAGAGATTTTGAATATTACGTTTGAAAATGAACATAAATATGAATTATTTGATCGTATAAAATGTTTTCATTTAATTGAGACTTTTTTTCCCTCATTTTCTCTGACGGCCTCCAGCAGGGGGCGCTGAAGCCCCGAGAGTCCGCTTGCTAACAAATAGCAGCTCGGTGGCTAACTTCCGGTTAGCCTCCTGCTAGCAGCTGTGCTGTGTCCGGGTTCTGCTGCGGTTCTGTTGCGGTTCTGCGCAGCAACAATGTGTTCCGTTGAGCCTCTGAGGGAGTTTATCAGAGAGAGACTAACTGCTGCTGCTGAAGAAATCTTCACCCAGCTGGAAAAAACCATCGTCCGGTACGAGGAGGAGATCGACCGGCAGCGGAGGCTGCTGGACCTCAGCTGGACCCGAACCGAGCAGAACCCCGCAGGTAGGTCCGCTGGACCCAAACCGAGCAGAACCGGGTCAGTCCACAGTGAGCAGGTTCGGTACCGGGCGGGTTCTGCTGGGGCAACTGGATCATAAAGCAAAGATTATATAACACATGTCAGAATATTATTGATCAGCATTCAGGTCCAGCTGGCAGCAGAACCGGACCGAATCACAGAAATATTAGAAAATATATCAATATTTATTGATGATTGATATTACGTCATGTTTATATTTTATTTTGTTTGTTTCGTCCTCTTCCTGTTGGACCTTGTTTGTGTCTGGAATAAAGATGTGATGAAGATGATAATGTGATGAAGATGATGTGATGTTCAGGAGTTGCTGGTTTCTCTCCAGCTGTGTTCTGGGCGAGAGGCGGGGTCACCTGGACAGGTAGCCAGTCTGTCGCAGGGCAACACAGAGACAACCAGGACAAACAACCACACACACACACACACACTTAGTTTTTGGACTATGGAGGAAGCCGGAGAACCCGGAGAGAACCCGCCAGGCACAGGGAGAACATGCAGACTCTGTGCAGAAGAACCCGGGCCGGGAATCGAACCCAGGACCTTCTTGCTGAAAGGCAACAGAGCTACCAACTGTGCAGCCCTGTGACTAAAGTCCAACATGTTAAATATATTATCACAGTTCTGAATGATTTTTTCTTGGTGTCTTTGCTTTAGTTGGCATCTCCAGATTTATTATTTTTTCCAAAGTATAAATATTTGTTTGCAGAATTTTGGACTGATAATATTTCCGGTTTCTGTTTCCCGGGTCGAACTTTCCTTTTGCAACAGAACCGAGGTTCTGCTGTACTGACTTCATTACAGCATCTGGTACCTGCAGCATCTCCAGTCACCTTAGTAACAACAGGGAGGTCCAACGGAAAAACCTTTCTTAAAGGGACAGTGTCACCTAAAATCATGTTGTAATGTTTTTCCCTGCACTGTTCATGTTTCAGAAATCCTTTAATCTCCATGGCAGCCATTCATCTGTTATATGCCTGGGTGGACCTAGCCCCGCCTTCAAGGCTTAGCTCCTCCCCCACTCAGCTCATTCAGACTAGCCAGCAGCAATTAGCAATAAACGGACGGAACTGCTGCTCAGAGCAGTGCTGGTAAAATAAAAATGTTAAAGGTTTAATAGAGGAGCCATGTTGGGAAGACTTCCTGGAGGCGGAGCTTCAGGAAGAGCAGGAGTTTCTTAAAGAGACAGAGGCCCAGTTTCTAGGTGTTAAATCAGGAAGTAACATTTCTTTTGAGTCATATTTGATATTTATGGCATTTTTATAACAACTTCTAAAGGTAACATAGTTATCTGTTTGTGCTTTAAAATGCCTTTTTGTGATTGGAAATCATGTGATACTGGCCCTTTAAAGAAAGTTGTGGGAAATAAAACAACAGCAGGAGGAGCTTAGCTGATCTTTTATGTCTTAAAGGTTTTTTGCTGATATTGATTGGGGAAAACTGTGATGTACAGACAGAGCGAGAGGAAAGGGGAGATTTTAAACGACTGAAAAGAAACCTAGAATAGACGGACGGTCCGCCAAAGAAAACAAACAAAAACAAGTGCATAACAGATTTTCTCCGGTACAACTAGTAAAAAAAAACTAGTTGATCCCGTATAAACATATATAGCTCAGGTATTTAAGTCCTTCCAAATGTACAAGATATGTTACAGATACATTTAACAACATGAAGAGTGGAGAGACACAATCAACTTAGTCTGTTGACGGACGGATAGATGGATGGATGGATAGATAGATATAGCTTTATGATTGATGAAAATATGATCTTTGTTTTCAGCTGTTGGCTGTTTTCTACATTAAGCAGGAGTGCTCATGTTGTTCTTCAGAGTTTTGAATGAAAGCAGAGCCTCAGTGAGGAAATAACACTCATTAAAAGATCATCATTTTGTTAAAGAGTAAATATTACATTACCATGGATCAGGTTGCTTACTAGTTGTCTGCATTGTCTGATCTCTTATAATGCTGTATTTTAGCATCAGGTCTAAAGTGACGAGGTGTTGAGATAATCGTTTTCAGTGTCACTATGAATGTAAACGTCCAACCAGTTCTTTGAGGAACGTGAATATTTAAATTAGTAAAAGTTGATTTATTCATGCTGATATAATCCTTTTACTGCTGCCGGTTTTCTGAAATAAAGAATTACAAATCAGTTACTATCCGTCTTTTTGAATGAGATCTGATGTTCTGAGCAGATTGGAAACTTGTCAAGTTTCACTTTCGTCATATTGTTTGTTGAAAGGATTTAAAGAACCTTGAAATGATTTAAGTGACCATTTATTTCCTCACACTCACATTAATAGTGACTTTGTTTGTCCAGGACTACCAGGTTGTGATGCCTGTGAGGAGAAAGACGTCCAAACGGGTCAACAGTCTTCAGAACAACAGACTGACTCCAGTTTGGACCAGGAGAAACCAGAACAATGGCAGAGGAAGAACGACCAAAAAGACTCTGATCCCCTTCAGATGAAAACTGAATCGAAGGAACCAGAACTTCTGCAGTTGAAGGAGGAAGACGGTGAAATCTGGATCAGTCGGGTTGAAGAGCAGCTGGTTCTGAATCAGCAGACTGATTCTGTCATGAGGGACGCAGAACCAGACGGAGGCCAGAGCTCGTCTCAGAGCTCGTCTCAGCGCTCGTCTCAGAGCTCGTCTCAGCGCTCGTCTCAGAGCTCGTCTCAGAGCTCGTCTCAGAGCTATCATGAAGCTCAGAACCTAAACCAGAACCTGATCAACGACAAAGATAAAAGTAGAGATCAAGTTTTGAAACAAAATAATGGTGATAAAACCAAACTAAAGAGGCACAGAGTTGAAAAAAGGGCTTTTTGCAAGATTTGTGGTAAAAGTTTCAACCAGTGCTACTTATATGACCACATAAGAACTCACACAGGAGAGAAACGTTTCTCCTGTAAAACCTGTGGAAAGAGTTTCATTCAAAGTTATCAGTGTACTGTTCACATGAGAACTCACACCGGAGAAAGACCTTATTTGTGTCAGACATGTGGGAAAAGCTTCATCCAAAAAAATAACTTAGTTACTCACATGAGAATTCACTCAGGTGGGGCACACCATCCATGTGAAATTTGTGGGAAAGATTTCTCTCGCAACGATCTGTTAGCCTCGCACATGAGCACTCACACAGGTATCAAACCTTTCCCATGTCAGACCTGCAAAAAGGACTTTAGTCGGAAAATTTATTTAACTCGTCACCTGAGAACGCACACAGGTGAGAAACCGTTTGAGTGTCAGGTCTGTGGGAAATGTTTTATCCAAAAAGATAATTTAATTACTCACACAAGAACTCACACAGGTGAGAAGCCGTACTCTTGTGAGACATGTGGAAAAAGTTTCAGTGACAGGAGTAATTTAAAGCATCACATGAGAACTCACACAGGGGAGAGGCCTTTCTCATGTCATATCTGCGGGAAACGTTTTATTCAGAAGAATAATGTTGTAACTCACATGAAGGTTCACGCAGGTGAGAAACGCTTCCCCTGTGAGGTCTGCGGTCTGTGTTTCTCTCGCAGTGCTAATCTGACTCGTCACATGGCCGCTCACTCAGAGGAGAAACCTTTCTCATGTCAGCCGTCTGGATGAAGCTTCAGCCAGGTTTGTCATTTCAAATTCAATGTTGATGTTCATAAATGCTGGGAGATGTAATTTATTTGCTCTGATGACAATGAAATAGTTGAGAAGTTAAAGTTCAGGAACTTTAACTTCTATAGCCTGATTGTCCTAAAACTCCAGTGTTAAAGGTGAATATTTAACCAATATATTTATGTTTCAATATGTACTTAAATGGCAATAAAATTGTTCATCTGGCATCTTCCATATTGAAAATACATATAAATAAAAAGATTAAATACACGAGCTTGTAAAAAGTGAAATAATATATAGAATATATTTTTAACTGCATGTCAACATTTTAGCACCGGGGTGGGCTCTCCTGGGCCTGGAGGGTCTCTGCAGCTTTTAGACATATCTCTACTTCAACACACCTGAGTCAAATAATGAGTCACTAGCAGGACTCTGGAGAACTGGACTGCAGTTAGGAGGTCATTCAGTTATTGGATTCAGGGGTTTTGGACCAGGGAGAGTTGCAGGACACCGGCCCTCCAGGACCAGGACTGCCCACCCCTGTTTTAGCACCTTGTGAGAAATGTTTAGGGTTTGAGTTTAGACGACATGTTTCATTTCTGAAAACTTTCACTCTAAAGACAAATTTTTGTTTTTTGTATTTCCATCCAAAACGTTGTTACCGAGGAAACAAGAGGCCAAAATATAACAGAATTATTGTCATCTTTTCCCAGTGAACTTCAGAGGTCAGACTTATGATTGAAGTTTTGGTCAAGTGAAAGTCAGTTTCAGGATTTCACTGTTTATTTCTTAAAACATATTAACTGATGAAAACAATTAGAAACACTGGTTATCAAAACCGGATTCTTAGACATAATCGACATTAAAAAATGTTATTCATTTGTGTCGGTGGCTTTAAATAGACCTTTTTTGAATCACAATATCCAGACATAGAAACCAGAAGTTTTCAATGCTGCTATCAACGAAGCAGCCAGTTTAATGAATCTGGACCCAGAAGAACCAGATGTCTGTTTCCATTGTCAGTGCAGTAAAACATGATGTTAAAATGTAATTATCTGGGTTTGATGGTGAATAATTCTGCTATTTTAACAATGAGTTACAAGTGAAATAACTAAATATTTTGCAAAGGGACTACATAATTTTGTATCTAACATTAAAAACTTGTGATGAGATAAAAATATCACAGAAGACAGTTTAGGTTTTACAGAAATAACTTTAAACCAGATTTAGCTCTTTGAGTTCGTTTCTGGATTTCAGGAAATCTTTAATAAAATATTTCTGTATTTATTTCTGTTTTCTTTTAACGTTCACGTTGTGCTTCAGTTCTGTCCAGCAGGTGGCAGCAGCAGGCTGCGTTTTACCGCTGCGGAACGGGAAGCAGCTCGGTTGCTAACTTCCGGTTAGCCTCCTGCTAGCAGCTGTGCTGTGTCCGGGTTCTGCTGCGGTTCTGTTGCGGTTCTGCGCAGCAACAATGTGTTCCGTTGAGCCTCTGAGGGAGTTTATCAGAGAGAGACTAACTGCTGCTGCTGAAGAAATCTTCACCCAGCTGGAAAAAACCATCGTCCGGTACGAGGAGGAGATCGACCGGCAGCGGAGGCTGCTGGACCTCAGCTGGACCCGAACCGAGCAGAACCCCGCAGGTAGGTCCGCTGGACCCAAACCGAGCAGAACCCCGCAGGTCGGTCCGCTGGACCCGAACCGAGCAGAACCGGGTCAGCCCACAGCGAGCAGGTTCGGTACCGGGCGGGTTCTGCTGGGGACGGAGCAGGGACAGTCTGCAGCTCAGGGTTCTGGTTCTGAAGCTCCGAGTTTAGAGAATAAAACCTAAAATCTCAGCTTGGATTTAAAAACATTAAAAACCTTTAATTGTTTGTTTTCTCTGCCTTTAATTTTCCTGCAAAAATCCCTCAGACAAATAAATTGTTGAAGATTTTAAGTGTTAACATTTGAATTCAGTTAGAAACAAGTTTTGTAATTTAAAAATCATGTCTTGAAGTTTTTGGTTAGCAAAATATTTTAATTATTGAAATAACAGGAGACAGAATTGAATTGTAATTAAACTGGAATAAATGGCCTAGTTAAAGTATCGGTATTGAATGGGGTTTGGAGTAATTTAGGACAGATTGTATGTTGACCCGCCACCCGGTCCAGAGTGTTCAGGTCTGCTCATTACTGGATGGAGCCAGGTTAGTGTCAGCTGATAATAAAAGCTCCTTTTAGTTTTCATTCCCTTTGACTGCAGCTTAAAGGGAATGAACACGTTATCATGGTGACGTGTTGAACTGAATGCTGTTAAAACCAGTTATCTAGAGTTACTGTCACTTTAATGAGGATCTTGTTTGTCCAGAACTTCCAGAACTGGAGAAGGACGTCCAAACGCATCAGCAGGATTCTGACTTCAGTTTGGACCAAGAGAAACCAGAACAATGGCAGATGACGAGGGAAAGAGAGGAACCCGGCCCACCACAGATGGCACTTAGCCTGGAGGAACCAGAACTTCTGCAGTTGAAGGAGGAAGACGGTGAAATCTGGATCAGTCGGGTTGAAGAGCAGCTGGTTCTGAATCAGCAGACTGATTCTGTCATGAAGGAAAGAGAACCAGAACCAGACGGACGCCAGAGCTCGTCTCAGAGCTCGTCTCAGAGCTCGTCTCAGCGCTCGTCTCAGAGCTCGTCTCAGAGCTCGTCTCAGAACTATCATGAAGCTCAGAACCTAAACCAGAACCAAAGAGACGATGGAGACTCGGGACCAAGCAGAGCTGCAGGTTTGAAACTGAGCAACAGAGGCAGAGCTAAAGGAAAGAGGCTCAGAGTTGGAAATCGGGCTTTTTGCCAAATTTGTGGTAAAAGTTTTAACCAGTTTTATTTATATAATCACATCAGAACTCACACAGGCGAGAAGCGTTTCTCCTGTCAGATCTGTGGGAAAGGATTCATTCAGAGCTACCAGTACACTGTTCACATGAGAACTCACACCGGGGAGAGACCGTTCTCATGTCACGTCTGCGGGAAACGTTTTGTTCAGAAGAATAACGTAGTGACTCACATGAAGGTTCATGTGGGTGAGAAAGGCTTTGCGTGTGAGGTCTGCGGTGTGTGTTTCTCTCTCAGTGCTGATCTGACTCGCCACACGGCCGCCGCTCACTCACAGGACAAACCTTTTACGTTTCAGCCGCCGGAATGAGGCGTCGGCCTTTTCTAACTAGATCAGATTACTTTCAAATGCTTGAAGCTAAAATGAAGAAACTTTAACATATTCAATTCATGTAGTTTTTATTTCAGGGCAACAAAATGAATGTTTTTCTGGGATCCTTCATGAAGAATGACAATCTTTACAGAAAACGAATGAAAATGAGAAGTACATGAAATTAATATGGATTTAATGCATCAAGTTAAAAGGCGTCATTGAAACTAAAGATCAAAGTTGAATTTGTGTTTGTAGAGGAATGGCTTGGCTTTTGGTCATGTGATGCATTGAAGGATTGTGGGTCGTTAACCGACAAGCAGACATGAACTCAGCAGCTTCACTGTTTGGGGAGTTTTTGTCTTTATAAGTTTATAAGTTTTTGTCTTTATAAGTTTATAAGTTTTTGTCTTTATAAGTTTATAAGTTTTTGTCTTTATAAGTTTATAAGTTTTTGTCTTTATAATTGTAAGTTTCTGGCATTTCTCAACTCCGCTACTGAAACACTTGAGAGTTTTGTTCAGTGAATTAGTTTGTTTTCCATTCAAATGATGATGTGACGATCGGCTTAATATGTAAATGATATCAGCAGATATAGTCATAATCTGTAGCCTTTTATTCTGAAGGATTTAGGATTTCACTGTTTAGTTTTTGTTTTACTTTATCGTTTAGTTTTAAAACAAGTTACTGAAGTTTCTCATGTATCTTTTGTCACTTTGGGGAATTAAAGTGTATTTGTGTTCATTCAACAGGTTTATTAAAAGATCAATTATCAATCACTGAATCGGTTTATTCATACACTGTAAACAAGACGGAGAATATCAGACGATATTATCAACGATCAGGATCCAAGCAGAAACTGTTGGGTTCTCATGCAGATGCAGAACCAGAACCGCTTCACTGGGTCCAGCAGCATTTAGAATAGAGACCAATGTAACTTCAGCTGAAGCTTTTCTCTTTTTGGATACAAACTTTGCATCTTGAAACTTATTTTACTCGTCTTCTGTTTACACCAACATGTTTTTAGGCTGTTAAATAAAAAGCCACCATCAAACTTCTGCCAGCAGCTTTTCCTCTGACATCAGCAGAGTCCATGTCATCTCAGCTGTGGCCTCCAGGTGGAGCTGTGTATTTATTTTTGAATTTACAATTAAAGGAAGTAATGAAAGAACCAGACAGTGAAACTCCAACTTTTATTTAGCAAAAAAAAATAATAATAATAAAATAAAGCTACAGAAAAAGACCCAGATATAGATATGACAACAACTTGCTTGTCTAAATAATTCAATGTCAAATTTATTTATATAACACTTTAAAACAGGTATAAAACTGCACCAAAGTGCTGCACAGGAACGACAGTAACACAAATAGATAAAAACAGAATATCAAGAAATTGCTTCAGTTAAAAGCCAACGAATAAAAATGAGTTTTGAGAAGCGATTTAAAATGATCCAGACTGCTAGCAGATCTAATCTGAAAAGGCAAATTGTTCCATAAATTAGGAGCAACAACAGAAAAAGCCTGATCTCCTTTCCTTAGTCGGTCCGAGGGACTGGAAGTAAAAGCTGATTGTTTGATTTTAAAAGATTCTGTAATTCAGCTCATATTTGATGCTCATGTGAACTAGAACATGATCTGATCACATTTGGAGGTTCTGGGTTTCAGGTTGAATTCCCAGTCTGGCCAGAAACTCCTGGATGCGTTGGCACAGATCAGCGTCTCCGTTTCTTCTGGACGTTTCTCTTGTCCAGGTCTTCTTCAGCTCTGTGATGCTGGCATGTCGATATTTGGACTCTTCCTGGATCTCTGCTGCCATCATGTGGTACTTAATAGATTTGCATCTGTCATCTTTCTGAAAGTATAAATGTTTGGCGTAATAGTTGTAAAGCATCTGTTTTCCTGCTGGATCCAGATCTTCTCTTTCCAGCAGCTCTTGGTAAATCTGCTCAGCTCTCTCTTTGTCTAGCTTTGCTAAAGTAATTTTATCTTCAAGTTTGGGTTGGGGATCATTAAGAATCACTTCCTCCCAGAGTCTGATTGCTCTGTTGATCTCGTTGCTGTCAGGTTTGTTGTCTCTAAGGATCTTCTTAGTGAGATTCTCCGCATCAGATCTTTGCTGTTGGGTTTGATTCAGAGCTTCGTCTGCAGCTTCATCTGCGTCGTCTTCCAGTTTAAACCTTCTGTTCAGACGCAGCAATGGGTTGATTCCACTGTAGCTGTTGGCAGGTTTCTCTTTCAGCTTCTCAGCCAAAACTCGAGCTTCATCCTGGACAATTTCTCCATTTTCAGCTTTGGCCTCCAGATAAAGAGCAGCGATGCATAAGTTCTCTGGATCTTGTTCTTTGGCTGATCTCAGCGTCTCCAGCCGCTCAGCGAACAGCTTCTTTATGCTTTCTTCTAGATTTTGTGCTGATAGTATGGCGTAGCTGCTCTGCCACTCCACGGTGTCCGGCTGCATCCGGATGGCTCTCTGGAAGAGCTCTGCAGCCTGCTGCTGCTTCTCTCTATCAAACTTCATCAGGGTCAAGGCCTTCTCAGCCAAGACCTCTGGGTGGCGCTCTACCTCAGGTGGAGCCGGGTATTTGCTCATCAGACCGTCGACCTTTGACAGGAAGTCTTCACTCCTCTCATCTTCTCCCAGGTGATGGTGCAGCCAGGCCCGATTCCCAAAGTTCACCATCAGCCAGGGACCTTCAACAGCGTTTCTCTGCCTCTGGAAGGTCTCAGCGGCCCGGTTGAAGAGGTCCAGGGCGTCTTTACTAGAGCCCAGCTGGTACTGGACGAAGCCCCGCAGGTTGTAGATGTGACCCAGCCAGAAGTTTCCCTCATCGGTACCGATGTCTCCCAGGGCGTCCCGCAGGTAGGTCAGTTTGGACCTGGAGGGTTGCAGCTCCCAGGTGAAGTGGCTCTGCAGGGCCTTGAGTCTGGACTCTGACGTCTCTGTAGAGCTGCTGGGAAATCATGAAAACAAAGTTAATCTGTTCAGAGAGAATAAAATGATGATCGCAGGGAAACATGAAGAAGTAGAGTGAATGACTTGTACTGTTACTGCGCTGCATCAAGTCCAGAGGACTCCAAAGCGCTTCATTCATCATTCACACTCAGACACTGATGGTAGAGGGCTACATGGTAGCCACAGCTGCCCTGAACTGACCAGAGAACTGTGACCTCCACCTGCAGGTCAGGCAAGTGAAGCATCTTCACATGGACACAGGGACAGAGGCGGTTTCAAACCGACAACCCACCGGTTACAGGACATGTCAGTTAGAAAGTTCTTTCTAACTGTGTCATCGTTAGAAAGCATAGAAATGGTTCAGGATCATCAAGTGATGAAACTACAAAGGATAAATTGGGACTGGTGAACAACACAAGAAGAGTATAATGTCTGTTAGCTTTAGTCTGACCTTTGACCTGCTGTACCTAAACTCACTCAATTTTCTCTACCAATGAGGGAGATACAGAAAACCAGAACAGAAAGGTCAAACCAGGTTAGAAAGGTCAACTGAGCACAACATGAGATGAATCTGATCATCAAATCTCGGATGTTTCCCATCACTCACCTCATGATCCAGCTGTTTCAAGAAAATGTCTTGAGTTTGAAGCTTTTCAGCATTTCTGTCAGAGGTAATCCTGAAACGTCTCAACTGACTTCAGAGACACGGAGACAAGTTTGACTGCAGGACGTCAGAGTCTGACTGAATGCAGCTCCACCTAACCCCAACCAGGACAAAAACACAGTTTAACCAATCAGGCAGAGGCTGGAGTTTAGTTTTGTTTGTCAGAAACAGAAAGTGAAAGAAAACTTGAACTCCAGCCTCTTATTCTCTAGTTCTCAGTGGTTGAATTACAAACTCATGTTTTCCAGTTTCTCCTCTTCAGCTGCTTTAGTAGAGAATAGAAACTGGGCTCCAGTGATGAACTGGATGACCTCTGGTCTGGATGACCTCTGGCCTTTTCGGCCCAGTGGATCATGATGATGATGTTCAGCTCTGTGTCTGCAGGGTTTGGCTCCCGGGGATTTATTTATGCCAAACATGTTCCTGATGAAAATTTGTGACTCCTATGTAAACATTATTCAAACCTTTTCCTAAAACACAAAAGCAGCTCACCAGTAGGGGGCGAAAGAGCAGCTAGAGCTGAAAGTTACCCTGGTATTTCTATAAAATATCCAGCATAAAACTCTTAGAAACATAAGAATGTAAAAAGCCTGTAAAAATTTGCATGCTTATATAAATCTTTTTTTTCTTTAAAGATCCAGACAATTAAATGTATTCTTTTTATTTAAGGTGTTAAACCATCAAAATGTCACATCTTCACTTTAGTTTTCCTTTAATTAGTAAAGTTGGAGAGGAATTCACAGATTTCACATCTCATGCATTAAGGTTATAATTCTTTATTTCAGGACAGTGTTGAACATGTTCATCATTTCTAATAATGTTCATTCTTTACTATCAGGCTGTGGACATAAACACAAAGCGCCTTGATGCTATCCTGCTAACGTGCTAAAAGAAAAATGAACTATTAGCTCATTGCAAGTGGAAAGTCTTTCCAGAATAAGAGCTTTAGCACAGCTAATTGTTGCCTGACATGTCTGAGCTGCAGGTTAATATCTCAACATAAAACTTGTGATTTGAACAAATAAATGTCTGCAGTTGTTTTAGTTTCATTTGGAGACAAACACTCATCAGGCTCCTTTTTACCACATTAAACAGTATAACACACAGTCATCTAAAGCTAATTTCTAAATAAAATCATAAGTGTGAGATTATATTTTTTGTTATTAGAATAAACCGTTATTGCCTGCAGCTCCGCCCAGCAGCTCCGCCCAGCAGCTCCGCCCAGCAGCTCCGCCCAGCAGCTCCGCCCAGCAGCTCCGCCCAGCAGCTCCGCCCTGCAGCTCCGCTAGAGTTAAAGTGTCTTAAAGGAGGACTCAGGATGAGCAGAGATGTTTGGCTCCAGCTGAGCAGAACAGAGCAAAACTTTACCTGCTTCATAAAACTAATATTTACATCCCAGTAATGTGATGGAACTGAAACATTCAAACTAATCCTGACTGTTTGATTGACAGCTGAATGTTCACTTTTTCCAAAAACTCCTTAATTTCTCGGCACATTTCAGGATCTTGGTTTCTCTTCAGGATCTTCTTCAGCTCTGTGATGCTGGCATGTCGATATTTGGACTCTTCCTGGATCTCTGCTGCCATCATGTGGTACTTAATAGATTTGCATCTGTCATCTTTCTGAAAGTATAAATGTTTGGCGTAATAGTTGTAAAGCATCTGTTTTCCTGCTGGATCCAGATCTTCTCTTTCCAGCAGCTCTTGGTAAATCTGCTCAGCTCTCTCTTTGTCTAGGTTTGCATGAAAATCTGCAAGAGTTAATGTTTCTTCAAGAGAGGATTCAGGATAAGCAGCAACCACTTCTTCCCACAGACTGATTGCTTCTCTGATCCTTCTGGGGTCAGGTTTGCTGCGCTGAATCTTCTTAGTGTAGCTTTTGCAGCCGACCTTTTTACGAATCGTGAGTCAGGATGTCTCCTCAGGGCCTCCTTGGCTATTTCAACAGCTTCATCTACTGAGATGTGTTTTACGTAAAGAGTCAGTAGTGGATCGATGCCACAGTAGTTGTTCATCGGCCGCTCTAGGATCTTTTCAGCTAACTCTCTTGCTTCACGCTTAATTGAAGCAGCTTTGGCCTCCAGATAAAGAGCAGCGATGCATAAGTTCTCTGGAACTTGTTCTTTGGCTGATCTCAGCGTCTCCAGCCGCTCAGCGAACAGCTTCTTTATGCTTTCTTCTAGATTTTGTGCTGATAGTATGGCGTAGCTGCTCTGCCACTCCACGGTGTCCGGCTGCATCCGGATGGCTCTCTGGAAGAGCTCTGCAGCCTGCTGCTGCTTCTCTCTATCAAACATCATCAGGGTCCAGGCCTTCTCAGCCAAGACCTCTGGGTGGCGCTCTACCTCAGGTGGAGCCGGGTATTTGCTCATCAGACCGTCGACCTTTGACAGGAAGTCTTCACTCCTCTCATCTTCTCCCAGGTGATGGTGCAGCCAGGCCCGATTCCCAAAGTTCACCATCAGCCAGGGACCTTCAACAGCGTTTCTCTGCCTCTGGAAGGTCTCAGCGGCCCGGTTGAAGAGGTCCAGGGCGTCTTTACTAGAGCCCAGCTGGTACTGGACGAAGCCCCGCAGGTTGTAGATGTGACCCAGCCAGACGTTTCCCTAATCGGTACCGATGTTGTCCAGTTGGTTCCTCAGGTAGATCAGGTTTTGCCGGCTGGATTTCAGATCCCAGGTGAAGTGGCTCTGCATTGCGTTGAGTCTGGACTTCAACATGTTATCAGAACTGCTGGGAAAACCAACAAAATAACCAAAATTGTGATTTTAATCTGCGCCTGAGAGAAAATGAAGTTATGACTGAAATGAAAACTGAAGAAATCGAGAAAATGTTCTGATGAGAAAGATGAAGGAAAGAATACTAATCATGTGTTTATTAGCCTGATTTAGACACTTTTACAGCAGTTTATCAGTTACATAATGTAACCGATAAAAAATCAGAGAAACATCCGACGCAGACAGAAAAGCAGGTTTAAAGTTCAGGTTTAAAATTCAGGTTTTCAAGTCCAAGAGAAACAAACAGCAAACAGGAAAGGAGATAAAGAAGACTAGAGCAGAGGAAAACCAGAACAGAGGTCAGAAAGGTCAACTGAGCACAACATGAGATGAATCTGATCATCAAATCTCGAATGTTTCCCATCACTCACCTCATGATCCAGCTGTTTCAAGAAAATGTCTTGGCTTTGAAGCTTTTCAGCGTTTCTGTCAGAGGTAATCCTGAAACGTCTCAACTGACTTCAGAGACACGGAGACAAGTTTGACTGCAGGACGTCAGAGTCTGACTGAATGCAGCTCCACCTAACCCCAACCAGGACAAAAACACAGTTTAACCAATCAGGCAGAGGCTGGAGTTTAGTTTCTGTTTGTCAGAAACAGAAAGTGAAAGAAAACTTGAACTCCAGCCTCTTATTCTCTAGTTCTCAGTGGTTGAATTACAAACTCATGTTTTCCAGTTTCTCCTCTTCAGCTGCTTTAGTAGAGAATAGAAACTGGGCTCCAGTGATGAACTGGATGATCTCTGTCCTTCACAGAGGACAGAGACGAGGCCTGGACTGACTGATTGGGAGGACTGGGAACATTCCCAGTGGGCTGAAAGGACTGGCTTACATTATTTTATTTCATTTCATTTTTGATTTTATATTTCATTCCTTTCTGGCGGTTCGGTTGGGTTTGTTTTGTCCTCCGTTTGTTCTGTTCCGGGTTCTTTGGGTTTTCTTTCTGGGTTTCTTGTGCGTACATTACTTCATTCCAACCACTAGATGGCGCCTGATCCATCCTGTCGGAGGGCGTGTGTGACGTCACCAGCGCGCCTGATCAGCTCATCAGCGGCGGGTTCAAGAGGAGCTGAGAGCCAGCCCGTCAACATTCTGACGGAGGAGACAGACGAGGACCTGCTGTTCGAGTGAAACCCCCCACCCCCGCAGTCTGACACTCATCATCATGCTATTTATTCTGTACCTCTCTGGCTGTGTTTGTCTTCTCAGACAAGTTATGAAAGTGTGAGCCAGTAATGGAACTGCTGAGCCCTGAGAGCCTGTCTCTGTGTCTCTGAGTCTCTGTGTCCCTGTGTCTCTGTCTCTGTGTCTCTGAGTCTCTGTGTCCCTGTGTCTCTGTCTCTGTGTCTCTGTCTCTGAGTCTCTGTGTCTCTGTCTCTGAGTCTCTGTGTCCCTGCGTCTCTGTCTCTGTGTCCCTGTGTCTCTGTCTCTCTGTCTCTGAGTCTCTGTGTCTCTGTGTCTCTGTCTCTGAGTCTCTGTGTCCCTGTGTCTCTGTCTCTGTGTCTCTGTCTCTGAGTCTCTGTGTCCCTGTGTCTCTGTCTCTGTGTCTCTGTCTCTGAGTCTCTGTGTCCCTGTGTCTCTGTCTCTGAGTCTCTGTGTCCCTGTGTCTCTGTCTCTGTGTCTCTGTCTCTGAGTCTCTGTGTCCCTGTGTCTCTGTCTCTGTGTCTCTGTCTCTGAGTCTCTGTGTCTCTGTCTCTGTGTCTCTGTCTCTGAGTCTCTGTCTCTGAGTCTCTGTGTCTCTGTGTCTCTGTGTCTCTGTGTCTCTGTGTCTCTGTGTCTCTGTGTCTCTGTGTCTCTGAGTCTCTGTGTCTCTGTCTCTGTGTCTCTGTCTCTGAGTCTCTGTCTCTGAGTCTCTGTGTCTCTGAGTCTCTGTGTCCCTGTGTCTCTGTCTCTGTGTCTCTGTCTCTGAGTCTCTGAGTCTCTGTGTCCCTGTGTCTCTGTCTCTGAGTCTCTGTGTCCCAGTGTCTCTGTCTCTGTGTCCCTGTGTCTCTGTCTCTGTGTCTCTGTCTCTGAGTCTCTGTGTCCCTGCGTCTCTGTCTCTGTGTCCCTGTGTCTCTGTCTCTGTGTCTCTGTCTCTGAGTCTCTGTGTCCCTGCGTCTCTGTCTCTGTGTCTCTGTCTCTGAGTCTCTGTGTCCCTGTGTCTCTGTCTGTGTCTCTGAGTCTCTCAGAGACAGAGACAGAGACTGTGTCTGTTGTAAGACACAGATGCTTTACAACAGATGTTGTAAAGCATCTGTTTTTCTGCTTGATCCCTGTGTCTCTGTCTCTGTGTCCCTGTGTCTCTGAGTCTCTGTGTCTCTGTCTCTATGTCTCTGTGATTCCTTGTTGACTTTCGTCCTGGTGATTTAGTGTGCCGATTGTTCCTGTCTTCAGGTGATCCCTCGTTTCGCCCTGGATCCACTCTGTGCTGATCCCTCCTGGCTTTCTGATCCTAGTGATGCCGTGGGACGAACCCACTGGTTGCCCGAGTTCCCAGACTCACCTTCTCCGTGTGACAAGAAGTTCCTCCTGGATTCCCACGACCCTGAACTCACCACCCTGCTCTGCTTCTCTAGTGTGCCCATTGTTCCCTGAACCTGATTCCCTTCTTGGACCAGAACCGAGCCTTCATAACCAAAACCTGCAGTATTCCCTAAACTTTATTGTTTATTTCATATTATTCTCCTGTGTTGTGACACCATTATCAGCTCTGGTTCTGGCTCTGGTTCTGGTTCCTGTCGCAGCGTTAATGGCGGTCGGCAGATTAAGGTCCTTTGGCCAGAAGGAAAAACTAGATTAAAGTAAATAATCCAGGTCGGAGGTGAAATGTTGGAGCCTCTGATTTTCCTCCGGGTCCAGATGAGGTGAATTCTTCATGTTTTTCTCTCTAGTGATGTTTGTGTTCATGTTCCTGTTGGACATTTGTCTTTTTTAACAGGTTGTTGTTTAAAATGTTTTCCTGTTTTCTGTAATTCATGGTGATGAAAAGTGAATATTTTTACTGCTGTCCTGATTTCTGTGCTTGTGGGTCCAGAAGTTAAACACTTTGCTTCTTCTCAGCAGTGTTGAATAAAGTCCTGAAATCTCAGAGTCCAGTAAAAGTATAGGTACCGCTCCAAAATATGACTTTGGTAAAAGTAAAAGTCACTGATTGAAATGTTACTTGACTTAAAGTATTAAAGTATCTGAAATGTCTTGTACTTAAGTCTGGAAATTACTGTAACAATGGATGAACTCAGTGATGTAATGAAAAGTAAAAAGTAAAACAAGGCAAATGCAGTTTGAATGACATTTTTATATTTTGGTAAACTTGTTAAATACACTTAAAATAATGAACACAACCAAGTGCAGGCAAAATGAAACCTGCTAATAGATAAACCTGCAGCATCATTTAGTTAAGAACATTAGGTGCTTTACCTACAAGGTTAACTTAACCTGCTTTAGATTAACTTAACCTGCTTTAGATTAACTTAACCTGCTTTAGGTTAACTTAACCTGCTTTACAACTTAACCTGCTTTAGGTTAACTTAACCTGCTTTAAGTTAACTTAACCTGCTTTAGATTAACTTAACCTGCTTTAGGTTAACTTAACCTGCTTTAGGTTAACTTAACCTGCTTTAGATTAACTTGACCTGCTTTACAACTGAACCAGCTTCTTAGTAAACCCTCCAGGACAGAAAATACAAAGTTTCTATAAGCCTGAAGTTTTCCCTTTCAGTAAGGTCAGTGCTGAAAATGAGAAAAATAAATAGTCAGTACAGAAAATGCAGCCAACATGAAGAAAAAACCTGTTAGGATTCCTCTACTTCACACACTATAGGTGCAACAACTGGTCATTATGCAAAAGAAAAAGAATTGGGAGGGAAATGCAGCTTATTGACATCTGAAGAGGGAGAGATTTTAGTTAACTTGGTGTTTAATGGGAGAAGCGAAACAGAGCGTCTGCTGCTGTAGCTCAGCCAGTGGGTCGGATCAGCTGAGGGCCAGGGCTGGTGAAGCTTCTGTTGCCTCTGGATGGAGCCGGCCCTCCTCCCTCACACTCAACACACACAGGTGTGTGTGGCCCAACAGTCTGGACGTTTAGCGGGTCAGAACTCTGCAGAACCACCTTTGGTTTCAGCTGCAGCTCTTTACAGCTAAATAATAAAAGAAACGTCATTTCCTCAAACTCAAGGCTTTATTCTACTGATTTTCACAACAGGTAAAACAATGTGACAAACATTATTCATCATTTTATTGGACTTTACAGAGATAAAAATCATCTGAAGTGACTTTTCGTGTCTGGAACATCAGGCAGATTTGATATTTAATTTTTACTGATCCTGAATTCTCAGGTTGGTCAGAAGATTTTCTATTTCTCCAAACAGTTCAGGGTTTCTGTTTCTCCTGATGCTCTTCTCCAGCTCTCTAATGCTGCTCTCTCCATAGTTAGATTCCACCTGGATCTCTGCTGCCCTCAGGTGGTAAACCGTTGACTCGCGGCTCTCCTTTCTAACAAAGTATAAATGCTTTGCGTAACAGTTGTAAAGCATCTGTTTTTCTGCTTGATCCAGATCTTCTCTTTCCAGCAGCTCTTTGTAAATCCCATGAGCTTTCTCTTTGTCTAGCTTTGCCTGTAATTCTGCTAGAGTTATTTGTTGTTTCACAGAAGCTTCACCATAAGCTGCAATCATTTCCTCCCACAGACTGATGGCTCGGTTCACCGCGTCGTGGGAAGGTTTGGGTTCCTGGTGGTCTGGATTAAGGATCCTCTTCATGTGGCAGATAGCAGCAGATTTTTTAAAATATCGTGAGTCGGGATGTCTCCTCAAGGCGTCTTCAGCTAATTGAACAGCTTCATCTTTAGAGATTTGGTTTCTATACAGACGCAGCAATGGCCTCATTCCATGGTAACTGCTGGGAGGTCTCTGCAGGATCCTAGCAGCTAACTCTCTTGCCTCACCCTGGATTTGTTCTCCTTTTGCAGCTTTGGCCTCCAGATAAAGAGCAGCAACATAAAGGTTCCCTGGATCTCGTTCTTTGGCTGATCTCAGTCTCTCAAAGACTTCAGGCTCTAAGATCTGCTGCTGTTTTATGAGGAACTCTGTCGATAGTATGGCGTAGCTGCTCTGCCACTCCACGGTGTCCGGCTGCATCCGGATGGCTCTCTGGAAGAGCTCTGCAGCCTGCTGCTTCTTCTCTTTATCAAACATCATCAGGGTCCAGGCCTTCTCAGCCAAGACCTCTGGGTGGCGCTCTACCTCAGGTGGAGCCTGGTATTTGCTCATCAGACCGTCGACCTTTGACAGGAAGTCTTCACTCCTCTCGTCTTTTCCCAGGTGATGGTGCAGCCAGGCCCGATTCCCAAAGTTCACCATCAGCCAGGGACCTTCAACAGCGTTTCTCTGCCTCTGGAAGGTCTCAGCGGCCCGGTTGAAGAGGTCCAGGGCGTCTTTACTAGAGCCCAGCTGGTACTGGACGAAGCCCCGCAGGTTGTAGATGTGACCCAGCCAGAAGTTTCCCTCATCGGTACCGATGTCCTCCAGGATGTTCCGTTCACAGGTCATGTTGGGCCGTCTGGGCCGGAGCTCCCAGGTGAAGTGGCTCTGCAGGGCCTTCAGTTTGTCCTCCAGACTCTGAGCAGAACTGATGGGACATTAAACACAAGTTAAACGCCAACGGCAGCAGAACATCCACATCACCTTTAACCTCCAGCCAGAGACACGACGGGTTCTTGGTGTTGATAATGACAGTTCATTGTTTACGACCTATTAGATAGAAAGCTATCATGTTTTTCCAAACTTCAGTTTGACTCAACCTGTTAACACGAAGAGGTCAAACTCTGGACCTGATCATCAGTCAGGCTGATGATCTGGTCTGTTATCTTTATAGACATAATGACCTGCCTAGTTAAGGACACGTTTTCATAAAATGATCTGTTAATGACTCCACAGCCAACCCTTTATCAGCTGCACTCTGGCCTGTCCTGTGAGGACGACCCGCAGTAGGACGACCCGCAGCAGGACGACCCGCAGCAGGACGACCCGCAGTAGGACGACCCGCAGTAGGACGACCCGCAGCAGGACGACCCGCAGTAGGACGACCTGCAGCAGAACGGTCAAACAGTTCAATGACTTCCATAAATACCAGAGCTGGTTCTGGTTCTGATCGTGTCACTGAACCAACCGGAGAACTGGGTCGGACTCTTTGGTCCAGAACACTACTGGTTCCGGGTTTGGACCGGTTCCGGTCTGGACTGGTTCCGGTCTTGGCTGGATCCAGTCCAACATGAAGAACTGGGATTTCTCTGTTTCAAGAGCTCCAGCCCATGACCCTCTGGTTCTGGTTCTGGTTCTGGTTCTGTTTGGTCCCAGTTCACAGCAGGAAGCAGACTGGTTACCATGACGAGGCAGATGGCAGCAGATTAATTTTAATCTGCTGCTGTTTCACATCAATAACATGAAGAACCAAAACGACGTCTCTGTTCACAGCCTGCTAACGACCAGGAGGAAAAACAATCTGGATATTTATGGTTTATTAGAATCCATCAGATGTGACAATCGCTGTCAAGCTTCAATAATTGAGCAGAAAGAAGCAGCAGCTGTTTGTCTCACCTCATCCTGCAGCTGGTTGGCGTCTCAGTGGATGAACCTCCTCAGGTTCCCATTTATCCTCGTCCTGAAGGGGCGGCGGCAGGGGGGGGGAGCGGGGGGCGGGCGGGAGGCGGGGCGGCGGCATTGAGATGTTTGGTTCATGTGGAGCTCAAGTTTTCCTCGTAAACAGAAACTCAGCAACACGTCGGTTCCTCCTCAGTTTATTCCCACCATAAACAGACAGAATTATGGCCGGAGGTTTTGATTAGATATGATTTTATGTCTTTATGATCAGGTCAGAAAATGAAGATTAAAACATGAGCTTATCTGCTGAGCTCTAATTATAAACCATTCCAACTCACCAGTTACAGTTCAGTTAAAATGATACTGTCTGTGTTTCTGCATCATTAAAAAACTGATTTTTAGACACGATTTCTGATGGCTGAAGACTTGAAGTCTAATCAATACCAGGAGAATTAGAATGAAATGCCTGAATGTGCTAAATTTTACTGAAAAAGTGAAATTTGTCCACTTTGCTCTTGAGGGCCAACAGAAATGTGTCACTTTTACTGCAGAGGTTCATATGCCTCATGTTTTTCAAATCAAACTTATGATGAACTTGTTTTCCTGCTGAGGAAAAAGTTTATTTATTTTTTTAGTTAATATTTTCATTTAGTCTTTTATTTCAGTTTTAAAGTTTGGATGTTTCTGAATTCTTACGAGAATAAAATGTGGTTTGTCATATTGTTGACGAGGATGTGCTGTGCTTTAGGACCGGTGATCTCAGATGAAATGATCACATATTGTACATTATCAACAAATTTCTGTTTTGATGTTGAAAGTTATTTTCCTCCTTGACTGTAATTCACTCCTCTGGGTTTCTTTTTTTTTCTATCTTGATTATCAAGGTTTCATTTAATGCTAAACATACTTGATCACTCTGATGATGTCATTTGACACAATATAATGTTTATTGGTTGTTTATTAACTGGTCACTTTGAGCCGCCTTGTGCTGCTCAGGTAAACTACAGTTAACATCTGCGGCCAGCAGGGGGCGGCAGAGCCGCAGCCCACCGGAAGTAAACAGAGGCTGGAGCGCAGCGCCACAGGTAGCATCAGGTAGCATCATGTAGCTGCGGCTTCCAGCGGGTTCTGCTGGTTCGGCTAAGTCTTTATCCTGACTCGAATATGAAGCGAACAGAACCAACCTCTGGGAGGAACCTGTGAGTTTACCAGCAGCTTTAATCCGAACCGAACCGGCAGCGATACCGAGGTTAGCTAAACTTTCTCCGTGACCTTCTGTCTCCCAGGTGACCATGTGACTGTGGGCCTCAGTGGGTCAGTTCGGGGTGCTGTTGTGGTTCTGAGGTGATGGAGACCTGGACCCCGAACCCCCGGGCCAAGCCGTTCATCCCGAGGCAGCAGAGGAGCTGGTACCTGACCTGGAAGTACCGGCTGACCCAGAGGAGGAGCCTCCGGCGGTTCTGTCAGGTCAGCCCGGTTCTGGTTCTGGTCGGAGGGATCTGCAGAACCACAGATCTACTCTCTATTGCTGGTTTGGTTCGGTTATTTTTAAAAGAGTTGGAGTTCTAGTTCTGTTCAAAATAAATAAAAAGCCTAGAAAGATGGCAGCCAGAGGTCCAGTTCGAGTTCCGCTGTTTTATTACGTCAACATATTTCTGTCACGTAACAGTGAACCTAACTAATGAATTAATATGAAGAGATGAATAAAGTCCTGTTTGGTCAGACATTTTACATAATAACATTTAATTTCATTTGTTTCTTCTTGACATGAAATTAGCAAAACAATAAAATTAGGACAACAAAGCTGGTGTAGAAACAAGAGGTCTCACTTCATCATAAATGAAAAGTGTGTCAGCTTCACTTTTAGTGAAAACTAATGGAGGCACTCACTCAAAGGTTTTTGTGTTAATCACATTAATCAAGCATTATATATAAAATAAGCAACATTTTCAATACAATACATCTTTTTGCTTCTGAATTGTTAAATAAAGAGACATATGAGCTCAACAATAAAAACATTTATGGTTTTTAATCTTGATTTCTGATCTTCAGCCAGCAGATTGGAGCAAAGTGTTTCATGAAGCCCTGATTATGAAGCTTCTTTAGAAATGTGGACACTGACAATTGCATTGCTGCTACATGTTTAGCATTCAGATGCTAGTATAGGCTTGATTGGCTTCTCTGACATGCTAACTTCTTTTAGCATGTCAGAGACTCCGGTCCGGTCCGGTGCAGGTGTTCCGGACTTGGCTCCGGTCCGGTGCAGGTGTTCCGGACTCGGCTCCGGTCCGGTCCAGGTGTTCCGGACTCGGCTCCGGTCCGGTGCAGGTGTTCTGGACTCGGGTCCGGTCCAGGTGTGCCGGACTCGGCTCCGGTCCGGTCGGGCTGACAGATGGACCCATGTGTTTGCTCCCAGGCTGGCGCCGTGCTGTTCCTGTTCGTCACTGTTGTGGTGAACATCAAGCTGATCCTGGACACGCGGCGAGTCGCTGATGAAGACGCTGCCGATCAGGAATACGGTCAGCAAACGGCTTCTGGTTCATTACTGACGAATCTGGTTTTCCATCATCAGGAATATTTACTGTAGATAATTATGAAAGCAGCCAAACTAGCCAACAGTAAATGAAGATGTAATGCAACAGATTATCGTTAAATTGGCTCTCCAGTCAGAATGAAGCAGAGGTTTTGTGCTAACGTTGTTATTTATTCTAATTTTTCTGAATTTGTTTTGTGGAAGACGTTGTTCCCAACATGGAGACTCCTCGCCGGCCGGCCAGCGGCAGGAAGGTTCTGGACATCGAGGTTTACTCCAGCCGCTCCAAGGTCTATGTGGCCGTGGACGGAACCACGGTGAGCGACCCACCAGAGCTTCAGAACCACGAGTCGGTCTGGTTCCGGTTTGTCTCTGCTGCACAGGATGATTTACGGTTCTACAGGTTTCTCCTGCTGTAATGGATCCACTGGGTTCTGGTAAAGCAACCTGGACCAACTGAGGCGTGAGGTTCTGGACATTAGAATCTGTCTCAACTGGTTTATTGCAGACAGAATGAGAGCAGCTGCTGCCCCCTAGTGGCTGAGCGCTGGATTGCTCCTTCAGACTAGCCAGCAGCAATTAGCAAACAGCAGGTGGAACTGCTGAGCTCATGAAAGGAGCTGCTGCTCAGAGCAGCACTGGTGAAACGTTGAAGGGTTAATAGAGGAGCCATGTTGGAATGACTTCCTGGGGGCGGAGCTTCAGAAACAGCAGGAGGTTTTAATGTTTGACGTTTATGAGTGAAGGTAACATCGTCACTGCTGTAATGTGTCTGTATCTGCCTGGACTCTCTGGTTCTGCCCCTTTAACGGGCTTCCCGACCCGCTGCAGGTTCTGGAGGACGACATGCGGGAGCAGGGCCGAGGCGTTCACGTCATCGTGCTCAACCAGGCCACCGTGAGCGCCGCCGGTCACCGCCTGCCGCTAATGCCTGCCGCTAACGCCCACCGGCCGGTTCTGATTGGTCCGTTCTCCCGTTCCAGGGTCATGTGATGGCCAAGCGGATCTTCGACACTTACTCCCCCCACGAGGATGAAGCCATGATCCTCTTCCTCAACATGGTGACCCGCGGCCGGATCCTCATCTTTACCGTCAAGGTGGGCGTGTCCGTCGGGGCGGGCGGGATTTCTGTGTGCGGTTCCTCTGACCGGGCCGGTTCTGTCGGACAGGATGAGGGAACGTTCCACCTGAAGGACGCAGCCAAGAACCTGCTGAAGAGCCTGGGCAGCCAGGCGGCGCTGGGCCTGAGCTGGAGGGACATGTGGACCCTGGTGGTGAAGAAAGGAGGTCAGACGGTTCTGGTTCTGGAGCCCAATCAGTTGAATATACAACAATATTCAGATTTTTAACCCTTCAAATTCCTTTTTTTCTTCTGTGAAAACTGATATTTTATGGTCAGGGATCATTTTAGGGACAGAAATTTGAAATATTTTTAAACAAACAAAATTATAAACAGCAGCAAAACAAGCAAGAAACTGTTAAATGATCTAATAAAATATGAGTTTATGAAATAAATTCGACTTCAAACTGGCAGCAACACTTATTCCTTTCAAAAAGACAATTATATATGTGGTGAATTAAATTTTAAAAAAGGTCTAAGAAATGTTCTCACGTCGTTTTCTGATGATTCTGACTGACCTGAAACAAGAACAGTTTTTTTTACTTCAGGCAGGAGTTCTATTTCCTTTACAAATGTGTCCAAAACTTAATAACTTTAAATATTTAGCTAATTTTGTAATTTCTGTGTTTCCACTAAAGAAGAAATGCAATTAAAATCTCACATGAATACGTTTTTTCATTGACTAAGTCATTAAAATATGCGGATCCGTCGTCCTCCAAATACTTCCTGTTGTCTTTTTTGTGGTTTCTGCCAGTAGAAACATCCAGCTGTTGATCATGAGAGGCATGATGTGAAAAAATTGTTTCCAATGCAGATTTCTGAGTTTAACTGACTTTGATACGGCCAAAAAATCCTTTCTATCAAAATCAGAGAGTTTTTGAAGTCGGTGTTTCCAGGTCAGGAATGTTTGCTCCGTGTTTCCAGGTCAGGTGTATGGAGAGAAGCACTCCAAGTCTCCAGCTCTATCCACGTGGGGCGACCCGGTTCTGCTGAAGACTGAGGTCCAGCTCACCGCCGCTGAAGGTATCTGAGCCGCAAACATCCTCATGTTTCTAAAGTTGAGATACAAAATATTAAAACAGTCCAATAAAACTGGACTTAAAAACATTTCTGTCTGGTTTCTGTTTTTGTCGCGTGACCTCCGGTCGGTCAGTCGTGTGACAGCGCTGCAGCGCTGCAGAATGTTAAGCGAATGTCGTATCTGTGTGTCCAAGTTAAACTGATCCTCTCCTCTGTGGTCCTGCAGAGGCCGAGTGCCACTGGGCCGACACGGAGCTCAACCGGAGGAGGAAGTTGTTCTGCAGCAAGGTGGAGGGATACGGCAGCATCTGCAGCTGCAAAGACCCGGCGCCCATCGAGTTCAACCCCGACCCGGTGAGTCGCCGCACTGATCACAGAACCAGAACCGGCCTCAGGTCAGCGGCGCCCCCTGCTGGCTGAAACCTGAACCTGCTGCATTCTTTACCACTGTCTGGTGTTACTGCTCTGTTTTCATCTGATAACTTCCAGTTACATCTGATCTGGTTGATCCAGTTAAATGTCGTCTGCTGGCTTCCAGTTAAACCAGTTAAATCTGGTCTTTGCTTGCAGCTTCCCAGTAACAACGTCTTCAATGTCCCAGTGGCTGTCATCGCTGGGAACCGCCCCAACTACCTGTACCGGTGAGACCCGGTTCCAGTCACTGCTGGTTAATAAAGAGTCTGGTTTGAAGAAACTCAAAGCTTTTATTTTGAAGGGTATAGCTACAGCTTCCTGTCTGCTTGCAGGATGCTGCGCTCGCTGCTCTCGGCTCACGGAGTCAACCCGCAGATGATCACCGTCTTCATCGACGGATACTACGAGGTTCAGACGCTCGGCTTCAGCTTCCCGCCTGCATGATGCCACCAGGCCAGACCTCCTCTAACCGCTGTGTGTCTGCTGCAGGAGCCCATGGACGTGGTGGAGCTGTTCGGGTTGAAGGGCGTCCAGCACACGCCCATCAGCATCAAGAACGCCCGCGTCTCCCAGGTAACCAGAGCTCCCAGTTAGACCAGAGCTCCCAGTTAGACAGGAAATTAAAGTGATAAATATCCTATAGATCCAATTGAAACTGTCTTTTTTTGTTTGTTTGTTTTAAACCCCAAAGTTTGGAAAAGTTTTCAAACTGACCCTGAAAATGCTTGAAAGGTTCTTGAATCTTCCAGTTTGCATGTTGCTGTGACCGGCTGCTTTCCTGTTGTTTCAGCACTACAAGGCGAGTCTGACGGCGACCTTTAACCTTCACCCTGTGAGTCTCCGCTTCGACGCGCCATCATGGTTCTGACCGGGTCCAGTCTGATGACAGAACCTTCTCTGTGTTTGGACAGGATGCCGGGTTTGCCGTGGTTCTGGAGGAGGACCTGGACATCTCTGTGGACTTCTTCAGGTTCTGTTCAGCTGAACTCTGACCTAAACCCGACTGGGTTTCCTGTAACTATCAGCTGCATTCTGCTGCATGGCCACTAGGTGGCGGTGGCTGCAGAATCAGGTTTTCAGAAAGGCCATAGTTAGAGAAACAGAACATCTAAAACTGAAACTGAAGAGTGTCCCTCTGTCTGACCCATATTCTTTCGTCTGACCCGTGTCCCTCTGTGTGATCCCTCTGACCCGTGTCCCTCTGTGTGACCCGTCTGACCCGTGTCCCTCTGTGTGACCCGTCTGACCCGTGTCCCTCTGTGTGACCCATGTCCCTCTGTGTGACCCGTCTGACCCTTGTCCCTCTGTGTGACCCATGTCCCTCTGTGTGACCCGTCTGACCCTTGTCCCTCTGTGTGACCCTTGTCCCTCTGTGTGACCCGTCTGACCCTTGTCCCTCTGTCTGACCCATGTCCCTCTGTGTGATCCCTCTGACCCTTGTCCCTCTGTGTGACCCGTGTCCCTCTGTGTGACCCTTGTCCCTCTGTGTAATCCCTCTGACCCTTGTCCGTTTCCTGACAGCTTCCTGAGTCAGACCATCCACCTGTTGGACCAGGACGACAGCCTGTACTGCATCTCAGCCTGGAACGACCAGGTCAGTCCCGACGGTCCGTGTTCCAGGTGTTCAGTTCCAGGTGCTCACTGTGGGCAGGAAGGATCTCCAGTAGCAGTCAGTTTCCCAACAAATCTGAAAAGGCCTCTGACTGGAGTCTGTTGCTTTATAACAACTTCAGACCAGAATGACATGCTAATGGCTCACTATCCAATATTCCACAGCAAAATGTCCTGGATGATACCATTACTGCTGATCCACCTCCTTTGCTTTTGCCGTTCCTCTTTGAATCTTTGTGTGTCTTTACCTGGAGTCCAGGTATGTTAAACCTTTGTTTGGTTTGTGAGCAGGGCTATGAGCACACAGCGGAGGATCCCGCCCTCCTCTACCGGGTGGAGAGCATGCCCGGTCTGGGCTGGGTGCTGAAGAAGAGCATCTACAAGGACGAGCTGGAACCAAAATGGCCGACCCCCGAAAAGGTCACAAACATTAAGACAGAAATATGAACTGACAAATGTGTATATTTCAGTTTTAGGGATGAAGGATACAGACTTAAAGATTTAACACAATATTTTGTTGTAATATTGTGATAATGATAAAAATAATATTTATTTATTTGTTACCAAAGGAAAATTATAGCAACACAAAGATTCCTCTTGAAAACCATTTCCAGTCGTATTGTGTTTCTTAGGTCACCAGCCACATACAGAAATGTAATTTTTATCGCTAAGTTTCAAACAGTAACTGTATTTAAACTTTTTTTAAAATTTATTGATGTTTATTGACATACTGTTCTTGAAAAGTGAAGGAAACACTTTAAAAATAATAATTGTGACATTACAGAAGTTTGGGTTATTTTCCAAATCATTTATTGGAATTTATTGTGACAAGAATAAGATCAAATCTTATTAGAAATGTATCACTGTAAATGATAAACGATGCAATAAATGTCCAGTTAAATCGACAAATCAAAGAAGAGCTATTTAAAAACTGAACCTGAATGCAAATGTATTACTAAATCAAATCTGGCGCCTTTCTTAAAGTTTAGAGTAAATTTTAGAGAAATAGATTAAGTAAGATTTTATTGAGAAATAATGAAAAGGCCATTGTTTAAGCTGGATTTGATTATAAAATGTAGATTTTTCTTCTGGTGCTGCAGCTCTGGGATTGGGACATGTGGATGAGGATGCCGGAGCAGAGGAAAGGCCGAGAGTGCATCATTCCCGACGTGTCGCGCTCCTACCACTTCGGCATCATTGGCCTCAACATGAACGGATATTTCCACGTGAGAACCCAAGGATCGCTTGTACAGAAACATCACACACACACAAGTTTGTATTTTTACCCATACTGGGACCCTCTGGGTCCTCATAATGCATGTCAAGCATAAAAGGTCCCAGAAGATACATAAACAAGTACACACATACACACATTAATTTAAGCTAGTTTTGACCCTCTAACCATAAACGTGTAAACAATTCGATGTTTTCATTTAAGTCACTAACATATATCTGAGTTTTAGATTCTTAGGAAAGTTTTCCTAACCTGTACTTTCCTCTGACAGAACCAGACAACTGGTCTTCCTGCTTCGTAGCTCATTGTTAGCTTTGATATTAGCTGCATTGCTAAGTCCTCGTTTGAATGTGTGGCTTTGGATAAAACATAAACATGTTTGGCTCAAGAGATTTAGGAGTTTCAAGTTGGGTAAAAAATAACTTTACACGAGTTTTTATCTGACTTTGGATGAAAACTAATGACCCGATTTAACAGGAAACAGACATTTCCAGATGACTTTATGAATCCAGTTTTCTTCTTCTCTTCACAGGAAGTCTATTTCAAGAAGCACAAGTTTAACACGATTCCCAACGTTCAGCTGAGGAACGTGGAGAGGTGATTTCAGCAGCCGGGAGCTGTTTTCTGGATCTCTGTTGATTCTCTGACTGTTTTTCTTGTTTCTCTGCTTCCTAGTTTGAGGAAAGATGCATACGAGGTGGAGATCCAGAAGCTGCTCAAGTGAGAGTTGCTGCAGAACCAACGATCTTGCTCGGGTTGTGATGTCTGTTTAAAGTTTTCCACGGCGTTCCGGGTGTGTCTGTCATTGATCCAGGGAGGCGGAGCTGCTGGATCACTCCAGGAATCCCTGTGAGGACTCGTTCGTCCCAGACACGGAGGGCAAGACCTACGTCATGTTCATAAAGATGGAGTCTGAGTTGGATACGTCCACCTGGACCGAGCTGGCCAAGGTACACGCTCTCCGTCATCCGGGTTGGGAGGTGGAAGGTTTCCCCTGAATGACGTGGCGTTCCGTGTTTTCTATCAGTGCCTCCATGTTTGGGACCTGGATGTTCGAGGATATCACAGAGGACTCTGGCGGCTCTTCAGGAAAAGGAACCACATTCTGGTCATTGCCGTGCCGATCTCTCCATACTCGTAAGTGATTCTTGGGCCAGGAAGAGAATACCAAACACTGCACTTCATATTGATGCCAATATCAGGAGAGAAAAAGCAGTTTGAACTCCTTAAACCTCCATTGTTCGATCATTAAACGGAAATATGATATTAAAGTTATTCTATATGAGTTTATTCTATCGTATTTTAGCTTTATTCTCTTTTTATCAATCTCTGTCGTATTTTGTGCACCAATCAGAAATAAAATATAAAACAATTCAAGCTGTGACTGATTAAATTATGGGTATTCTCAGAAGTACATCACAGTGTCATCGGCGTAAAGATACAACTGAAAGTAGAGGATTCAGCCCTGATCCCAGAACAGATCAGCTGATCGTGCTGCTGGTTTCCTGCATCCTGTCCTACAAACAAAAGTAGCATTATCAGCGCCCCCTAGATTAATAAAGAGAAGACATTTAACCTCACTCTGTTTACAGAAAGGTTTAAATATGAGTTGGACGAAATAGCAGATTTTCAGCTTTTGAAAGCTGCTGTGAAAAAACAGTTTATAAATGATTAAAAAGTTATGAAATCCATCAATTTGTCATTTTATTTTAATTTAAAATCTAAAATAAAGTCTGTGCAGCAGCAGTTTGTGATGGATCGAGTGGAAAACTCGACTCGTCACAGGAAATATTAGAAAAATACGTTTTTTTATTCTTATTATTTCAACCCAAAGTATTTTCTGACTAAATATCTGAGCTCATAAAAGAGTCCAGAGAAGCAAAACTGAACTCAGGCAAAAAAGCAAACAATGCGGATGCACAAAGAAATGACAAACAGGGACATTGGCAAAGGTCACCAGGCCAGGAATCGAACCTGCGACAGCCGCATCGAGGACTAAAGCCTCCATATGTTGGTTGTGCTCAACCCCCAATTATTTCCATATTTATACAATTTGAGCTTTCTGACAAACTAATTTATCTTCTTTAATTTCCTTGACAAAGTCAGTTTTGTCAGCTGAGGGCGACCAGTGGACAGCAGAAACATCATGTCTGATGAAGCTCAGTAAAACAACTTTAGGTTATTAATATTCAGATTGTTTGGTTGGACAGGAAGTGACTTACAGGTCAAAGGTCAGATGGAACTGGTTGAATCGTGCTTCTGTTTTTTCCTCGGCAGCGTGAAGAAACCAGCCGCCCTCGCCCCCATCCACCTGGAGCCGCCGCCCAAAGAGGAGGCGGCGCCGGTGGAGCAGCTGTAGACCCAAACGCCGGCCTGGTCTGCCGGAACCGGAACCGGACAAGACACTCTCCTGGACCTTTGGGTCTCAGAACGGAGTCAGTCTGGAGATGGAGTAAGAACTGGAACCAGAACGATCCCAGTTCTTAATATTAATCCTTCAAGCTCTGAACATTTTAACATTTCAGAGAGAAAGAAGCTCAGAGGAACTGAAATCTATTTTTAGACAGTTAGAACCGGCCAGGTTTTCACCAAACCGGTTTCATGTTCAGAATCTGGATCCTGGAGGCCGGAGTTTCAGCCTCAACCTGCTGCTCATGAGGAATCGACCTCTGACCCACCAAGCTTCAAGAAACTACTGAACTCTGAACATTTCAGCTTTTTATGTTTTCAACCTTTTATATTTATACTAAAGTTCTGATTGGCGGATTTTTAAATGTTACAATGACTTTTAAGACTCAAAATTATCCAAAAGATGACAGACAAGATTATTTCTGCTAAAAGTCTCATTGAAACTGGAACCTGGACTGGATCTGGTTCTGCAGAACCTCCGCTTGGTTCTGCTCCGGGTTCGGCCCGGTTTCAGCATCAGCTGAGGGACGTTCTTAACAGAACGCTAAAGTTTTTACTCTCTGTTTTGAATCCAGACCGAAGTGAAACATAAATGGGACTCCACTGCCCTCTGGTGGCCGGTTGGTTCTGGTTCTCAGCTTTTAGAAACAAAGTAAAATAAATCCTCCCATCCTGGAGGTGTTTTCTGCTTCAATGAGGTTTTAGCAGTAAAAAAGTCCAGATTTCTTTCTTTTTTTTCCAATGAAATGATGTGAGGAACAGAATCAACCGGATCCGTTTTCAGGAGAAAAACCTTTTTGGGATGGTTTATTAAATGTTGGCAGTGTTTGTTCCAGTTTATAAGACAGCTTTAGGACCAGATGTAGAAAGGAAAAAGTAATAAATAATGTCCAAATATTACCAGAATAAAATCACAATAATATAAAATAGTCATATTAATATGATAATAGACATAATAATGCTAGAATAAGAGTTAAAACACCATAAAACTTTATGTTCATATTATTTAAGCTTTTTACACTCTTGTGCTTTATTGTCATAATTAATATTTTTAGCCTGGCCCTAATTCTCCAGTTCAAACCTAAATTATTCAGGTTTAAATTTGAGTCTTATCTGATCTGCAGTGTTACTGAACTCCAGTTTTTATGTTTGAATTTATGGTTTTTCATTTCAGTGAAGCATCTCAGTGACTCGTCTTGGGTTGAACGTCTCAGATGTTTTATTTCTCTGACTGAATAAAGATGTTTTTACATTTTTTAATGTTGAAATGGTTTTCATGGCTGGATCTTCTGAAGGATGTCGGATTTCTCTGCGTCGTCCTGATTTCCCTCAGGAACATCCTGGGAAACCAAATGAAGGGGCTGTGGATGGGATGTAAATCTGTGGCATCCTGGTTCCTCTGCAGGTTTGGCGGCTTCCTGTCCTTCACCTTTGACCTTCACAGAGTCGTTGATCATCAGCAGAGTTTCGCCTCGCTGCTCAACTGTAAATCAGATTAAAGTCTCTACAACATGAAGGCGACGCGAATCCAAGAGGAAAGTTCATGTAAAATAGATGAGTAGCCTCACAATGAACCCTAAAGACCTCAGGAAGTCGCTGCTGAAGCGGGTCGAGCTTCAATCAGAGAAATGATCTGAACCAACAGGAGCTGAACAGCCAATCAGAGGAAGAAGCCACCAGTCTGATTTTTATTCACATGATGAAACTGCTAAATTTAGCTCAAGATGTAAAAGAACAAAATGAGTTTTTCAGATAAGTACTACTTCAGGGTTATTCTTTCACTTATTGCCACCTCCTGGTGGGAGACTGGTACTGCAGTGTTGCTGTTGGCAGACCAACAAAATGAAATGAACATAGAAAATTCTGCTTCTCTACAGAAACTCAACTTATAAAACTTGAACTTTCCTTTTCAAATTATGGAAAAAAATTTACCAGAAATATGATGAATGAGAAAAGATCCAAATAAAAGTTAATTTGTTTAAATATAGTTCATAGATATATTTAAAACTTCTCTACTGAATTGAAATCAAGCTAAACCTCAACAGCAAGTGTTAAATATGTTGCAGCAAAAAGGAAGACAGCATCAGGATCTACTGCCTCTGCAGGCTGGGAGGAGGAACTTCAGCTGACTTTCTCATCCAGGTGAGAGAACAGGTACATGGAGACGATCATGGCAGCGATCTGAGGAGCAGGAGAATCAGAAATATGAGCAGAAACCAGATCATTGAAATATTCACGTGAAACTTTCCTTAATAAGGAACTGAATAAATGTTAGAACTCAAAACACGTTTCTTCACAAATATTACATTCGTAGGGAGTTTCCTCTGTTCTGTTTCTGTCACAGGATGTTAACCCTAACCCTCCAATGAACCGAGCAGAGCACTTCCTGCCTGACGACCCAGTTAGAACCAGAGTCACTCCTGATTGGTTGGTCATGTCAGTGTTGGCTTTTTCCTCATTTGTTCACTTGTATAATTGCCACCGACTCAAAACAGCTTAAGAAAATAAAAAGCAACGGGGGTTCTGTGTAAGTAGACTTCAAAATAAGAGCACAAATATAAACGTCTAAATACTTAAAGAATTTTAAAGAACCAATAACCACATTTGCAGCCAAGTCAAACTTGCTAAGTGTGCTAACAGTATTAAGTGGAAGCTAAAGCTAACCACCTTGCCAACGTGATATTCACTGGAATATGGCAAAATTTATTTGACTGAAAGTTTACAACACACCAGCGATTTATCCAGAAAATTAAATTTAATCGAAGCCAAGTGAGCTAAATATTTTCAAAGTTGGCAAAAAATGCTAAGCAAAAATTTAGCTCCACTGTTAGCTGACTGGCAAACTTGTGCAACCTGTGGAACTGGTCAGGCTAACCAAGCCAATCAGCTCTCAGCAGGTCGTACCAGCGGCCATTTTCCACTTTGGCCAAACTGAGTTGAAGCCACATCGGCTCATGTATTGAGGTTTTATGACCCCTGGTTCGGTCGTTATGCATCTTTACCTCCAGGAGTCCCACTCCTACTGCCACGCCTCCCACAGCGCAGGTGTGTTTTCTCAGGGTCTTCAGGATGGGACCAAAGCAGCCCTGAAACAGGAGCATCAGGTCATGAAGGGACATTCTGAAAACTAAAATACCTTTATGCTTCCAATATCTAATAACCTGCAAAGATAAAGAATAACAACAATGATTGGCATCATTCAGTCAGTGAGTTTGTAGAGAGGTTTTACCTGGACAGGTGAGCGTGCCGCCTCCGCTGGGCTGCAGGGGGCGATGTTGGTGGAGCAGCAGCTGGGTGGGAGGCCGGTCCCGTTCTGCTCCACCTCTGACCCCAGGAAGTCAGTATAGTTGGAGAAACCGCAACATTTCAACTGGCGGGAAACGTGCAGAAATATTGATTATTGATAAACGGTTTAATCTGATTCAGTTATTTTACTGCAGGAAGGTCAGTCTGAAGGTCACTCTAAAGGTCAGTCTGAAGGTCACTCTAAAGGTCAGTCTGCAGGTCACTCTAAAGGTCACTCTAAAGGTCAGTCTGCAGGTCACTCTAAAGGTCAGTCTGCAGGTCACTCTAAAGGTCAGTCTGCAGGTCAGTCTGCAGGTCAGTCTGCAGGTCAGTCAGGTTTGTTACCCGTCTTTCACCTCTGCCATGGTGTGGTTCCAGATGCCGGTGACGGTCGGATCGCTGCCGTACTCGTTCTGCAGCGCGGGAACCGCCCAGGCCTGGAGGATGCCTTCAGCCTGGAAAACACAAAGTTTAACCAGAAACATCAAATTCGTCACATCTGCAGAGAGCTGCGTCAGATGAACCAAAGGTACCGAACTGGATCAGCGAACCGGCGCAGGAAACAACCTCAGGTCAGACCTGTCACTGTAACAAACGTTTCTGGACAATAAATTATCGCGATAAACGATAGTATTGTTTTTTTGAGACCATTTTCAATTAATCTATTAGTAATGCTAATCATAATGTAAGAACACATTCTCAAACATCAACAAAGTTTAAATTCTAATGAAAATTTCAAACTGAAACTGGAAGAAATTTTAATTCTTCAAAATAACAAAACAAAATGAATCAAAGTTTCTGGTTGAGACCAAAACTCCAGACTGGAACTGGATCTCGCTTTAAGTCATCATGTGATTAATTGATTTATTGCAACAAACCCAAAAAAATTCAATGTTTTCTCTCAGTATTTGTGTTTCCAGCCATGAATCTCGTTTCCTGAATGATGTTTGAATCTCCATCGTCTGTGGAGCAAATCGTAAAAGTGTTTCCGGACGATGACGTTTCTCACTGTGTTTTACTGTTTCTCTCCCTGTTCTGACCTAAAATATCCTTTTAAAAGATCCAGTTCTAAAATATCCTTTTCTCTTCAGTAAATCTAAACTGTTTCTTGGGCAGAAAATCACAGCAAATCATCCACCGTGGAGGGAGAAGCTGATTT